GCTCCTCTGACAACTATTCATGCAATTTAAATAAGCTGCACTCCAGTGTTTGGACATTGCCCTGCTTTCTACTTGTTTGTTTAGTGAAACTGCTGCGTAACTGCCCCAGCAGAGTCTAGAGTTATAAACAAACTTTGTCTGCAAATGTGTGTTTAGTTCAGTTTTCACCTTGACACAGAGCCTTTGCTTTCTGGAGGAGCAGAGACACTCTCCAGAACACATCAGCACAGTGCTGAGCACACACCAAGAACAGCAAGCACAAACTCCCTTGCAGTAAAACATGGCTAGAGAAAGGCAGCAAACACAAACATGGCATGCAAGGCTTGTTTTTAATAGAGCGCATGATTAACTTTACTGTGTTAATTCATATAGGTATTAAACTTCTTCATACTTTTGTGATAAAGCTGTTGTGAGCAGACTGGCCTAAAATCTCATTTATGTCACTCTAAATCTGAAATACCTCTCCTGACAATAGCATTTGGAGTAGATCTCCATCAAAGTCTCTAATAATTAATTTGTCCTAATGTGGGTTTTTGATCTTTCCACGTGCAGGTGCAAGCCTGAATGTTTGTAATGTATGATTTTTTTATTTTATTTTGGGGCAGCAATGTTTGCTAAGGCTATAAATATTAAATCCATTAGATATCCTAGAACATCATCCTGTTCTATTAAATATTTGAATACACAGCATCTACCTTGAAAATGTAATATAAAGCTGTTCAGGACAGTCCAACAAAGGTAGGACAAAAACATAATTATGAGGTCCGTTCTGTGATCTATGTGACAACTGTGACTGAATGACTAATAGCACTACCAGAAAACAGCCACCATCAATTCTGCAAAGTTAGCAGTGTCTTTCAGAAATAGGTTTTTCAGGAATGTGTGCAGGCTTCTCGTGTAGTGACTTGGGGAAGTTCTCAGTGGTACCGCTACCTTCTTGGAAAAATAGGCAGATCCTGAAAATGGTATGTTTGCACCACTGAATTCATTCAGAGACTTTTTTTCCTAAAGGGATTCCCTGCAGGGGAGCTATTATACATGTTCTAGCCTGAAACTTGAGCTGGCCAGAGAATGGAAATTGTGTTTCACAGACAATTTTGAGATTTTGAAATTTGTTTTCATTCCAATTCAGAACAAAACCTCAAAATGTTGAAATTCTCCACAAAGGAAAATTCCACAAAAATAAATAGTTTTGGCTTATTTGGATTATTACAACTTTTAAAAATGCATATATTATGTAAAATCAAAAATCTAAATGCTTTATTCCAAAAATTGTTGGCGTATCTTCCTCCAAATGCTCTGGGTAGCAGTAATAATTCCTCAAAGTGTTGTGATTCTGACAGAAATACATTTTTTGAAGGAAAGATGCTCCATTAATTTCCCGTCTAAAGTCCATTAGACTTCCTATTGCCGTGTTATCCAGATGCCTTGTGCTTCAACTGTAATGCAAAAGCTCTGTAAATATTCTAGCTCCAGAACCATGATCTACAATATGCCACATATGGGCTTCTCATTACGTGTTTGTGCTGTGGTGAGGACCAGAAAGTCCCCACTTATGTGAGAGAAAAGAACTCAGTTTCTGAGGAGAGCTCTGAAGCTGTGGGACAGTTGATGTGAAGCTGCTCTTGATGCCACAGGCCACTGGCACTAGAAGTCTTCTCCCTGGCAGCAGAGCAAACAAACAAGCTGCTCAGTGGCATCAGCACACTGAATGAAAATGTGGAATTCCACATGAGGAATTGAGCTCCTTGTCAGTTCCTAGCGGGGCAAAGTCCATGGCGAAGAGATTCTAGGATTCTTTAACAAATACTAGTGTCAATAGCCTGTATCCCAGAGCTCAAAGGAGATGCTAGTGATGTGCTTTCAATGCCTGTGCTGAATTTTGGAACATTTTTGTTGTTCCAGGGTTATCTGAAGGGAACTGTGTTTCAGTTTTCATCCATGCCCAAGTAGAAGCTATTTCCTGCATTTTCATTCTGTGCTGTTTTTCTTTGTAATTTCTTTTTGGCTTCGGTGCATTAATTGATAACTGCAGGATTGGTGCTGTGAGGTGCTGGACATCCACAGCATGTTGAAAAGGTGCTTCTTTCTGGGTGTGATCTCAGGGACTGCAGTCTTTTACCCTGCTCAGGGAAACAAAGTTGTGAGTACATTCCTGGGGATAACAAGCTGTGATACTTGCCATCCCACCCTGATTACCTGTATCTTGCCTCATCTTGCTGTTTTTCATTTGGTCAGGGAGCCCCACAGTCCGTGTGCTAACCCAGATTTGGGCCAGGCATCCAGCCTGCCTTGTGGAACCTGTGCCAAGTAATTATTTATGGTTATTCCTTTAAAGCCTTATGTCTGGCAGAGTAAAATGTCAGTGCACATCCAGAATCCCTGTATAGGTCAGTAATGCGGATCAATAGGCCTTTCCCACCATGAATAACAGGAAGATGTGTCTCCAGTTGAAGATTTCCCAAGGAGGAGTTTCAGATAATACGATAAATAATGGCTGGAGAGTGATATGTCAGCACAGCAGCCAGGGAATGAGGAGCCTTGAGGACCAAATTGCATTCGGTGCAGAGGCAGTGAAGGCAAATGCCCACCCTACCGTCTGTGCTCCCATCCCTCCTTAGGGGCACAGAATAAGGGAAAGGGACTAAAAGGCTTTGTGAATGCTGCTGTCTCTTTGCTTCTAAGAATCAAAACTGTACTTGGTGTGTGTCGCTAGCAATGACAGTGGCAGACAATGAGGTTATTGGATGGCAAACCTGGTCATGCAGGTCTAGTGAGATTCTTGCCCTGTGTGCTGCACTGAGGAGGGACAGTGTTTGGGTCCCTGTTGTAGGTACACAAAGCCAGAATGTTGTCTACAAGTGGCACATTTGGGCTCAGTATAATTCTAGAATATGTTTTTCTCTTTGGGATATGTCTGAACTGCAGTCAGCATGCTCCCCACTAGAAAGTGACATGTAGGAGCCACCCTCTGTTGTTGAAAAGTTGATAGAACGTGTGTACAATACTATGGTCACCGAAATATGTCTAAGCCTAATTGCTTGCATGTGGGATTGATTGCTCGAATATAAAGAACTGAATGCGTTGAAGACCTGCCAGAGGTTGCAGAAAAAAATCAAAGTCAGATATAAGGCCAAATGTAGCTTTAGCAACTGCTGTTGTAGCACTTCAGTGGAAGGGCTCCCCCAGTGCAGAGCTGTAGCTGGGATCTGTCAGTGGGAGCATGGGCCTTGGCAGGGCCTGCACTCATAGCCATCTCTATCCTCTGGTGGCAACATGGTGGTCTGGGCAGCTGCATGGTTTCGTTTTCAGACAGAGCCAACAATTCAGTGCAAGAGCTCAAAATGTTTCAGTTCTTTGGGAACTAAAAATTTCTCTTGAGAAATTAATGCATTTCATGTCTTAAGCCATTGTCAGAAACTCTACAAAAGCATCCAGAAAAAGGCACCAACCTTCCTGGTAACGCTGCAGCACTTTGGCTTCAACAAGGACTAAACACTGCAGAGTTTGTACCATCTGTTTGTGCCCCTATACCATAACTCCACTTTAAGGCAGGAATTCACCATATTACCAACAGGAACCATTGCAGCGCTTGTTCCAAACCTAGCCCCCTGGTGCTGAGCCCTCACAGCCTTGCACAGGCTTATTCCTAGAGCCTGCTAAGCTGTAATCGCATGACACAGCCCCACTGTCCTGCTCCATCAGGTGCAGCCCTGGTTAGGGAGCAAACCCGGAGGCTTTCTCTTAGAATATTTCATTAATGTGAGACATATTTCTAGGGCAAATAAATGCCATGAACTTCTTTTTCTATCAGTTAGTTGTCATCTGTTCTGAGACATCATCTCAAAGCATGAAAAACAGCTCTGATCAGTGTTTAAAAGCAGTGAGTGTTGCTGAGGCTGGAGCAAGGACAGCTTCAGTGAAGAACTGCCATGGAGTGAGAGAAAAGCTTCATCCCAAGCTGAGGGCAGTGCCAGGAGAAGCTGCCCAGCTGCATTACCTGGCCAAGGATTGATACAACAACGGGAAGCACTTCTGAGGCTCAACCTATTCCATGCAATATGCGAGACGGAGCTCATTAAATAACAGAAGATGTTGCCATTGGGCACACAGAAGGCAAAGGATCAATTTCCACACTTGGACTTGGCCTCCATTTAAATTTTTGCAGAGAAAGCTATGCTGGTCAGTAGCTATTAAAGCTAAAGAAAGGCAGTACAACTCTAAGCAATGTGGTTACGCTGGCAAGGAGCCACATGTAAACAGTCAAATCTCCTTCCTTCTGTTGTGCACCCACCAGCAGAGCAGTGATTGTCGTTCAGGAGCACCCCCCAGTTTGGTACCTTCAGACTCACCAAGGTGTCCCCAGCTTGGGCAAGCAGGGAAGAAGGACTGCACTGGGAAGCTGGAGTGACACAGGGCTCTGTGAGAAGCCTGCCTGTGTCCCTGCCTTGCCAGCAGGCACCATAAGGGCTGCCAGAAAGTGCAAGGAACAAAGACAGAACTTTGCAAAACATCAGGTTTGATCTGCAACTGATTCCCAATGGCTTTCAATGGCACCTGTGTGAAGGGCTTTGGCTCTGGATGGTGTAGGGCTGGTCTTCCCTCATGGGATCCAGATGAATGAGGTTCTCTTATTACATGTACAAGGAACTCTTGAGATATGCCTAAACACAAGCCCTGTAATTATGGTGCATGTGTTAGCAAATTAGACCAAACTGAGCCAAAGGCCTTACCAAGGTATTGGGTGACGCTGTGCTACATGCTTGCTGGCTGAAGCTGCCCCGTTGGAGAGGACATGAGGGCAGCTGTCTGTCCATGCAGCTTTTATCCCTGCCCAGAGCCTAAGGGCATAATGTGCTGACGGACTGGGGGCCCTTGGCCACACCACTAGCTGAATTCATGAGCATACTTACAGCCTTTTATTTCCTCAAACAGCAGAGAGTTCAGACACCTGTACAAAGGTTTTGTCCCTTGGCGCTCACTAGCCTGCAGCAGCTCACTGAGGGCTGCTGGTCTTCTGGCAGGCACAGGGCCTGGTGCTGAGCACTCCAGAAATTCCTCTTCACTTTGTTTTGTTATCTTTGCAGAGTGAGCCACCTAAAAGCCACCTTCTGAAGGGCTCTGTGTTAAAACCCACCAAACGCTGCATGGCTGAGCGGTGACTCAGAGAGGTGCTTCGCTCCCACGAGGACGGCGGAGCTCTGACCCATGCCTGGCTCTGGCTGCACGTTGGGCACACGCTGGTGCCTCCAAAGTACTGAGAGTCCGTGACAAACAGAAGCTGTGAATTAGTCAGACCTTTTTTTAATTAGCATTTCACTAATTAGTATTAATTTAGCAAACGAGTGCCCTGATTAGCTTGGTTAGAGCAGGAACAGAGGGGAAGATATGGGATATCAAGGCTCTGACCAGAGCGAAGCCTCAGCCCTGCAGGGACACACAGGGCTCCAGCAGGCACAGCTCCCCTGGACCACATCACCTCCCTGCACCCACCATCTTTCACCCAGTCAATGTCCCCACTTTCATCACAAACCCTTATTGCAACCGAGTGCTGCCTCATTGATGCTGTCTCTGCTGCAAAGTCCAGTTGAACAAAGATGTTTCCAGCTGCAGCAGCGGCGCTAAGGAAGCAGCAATCGTATCTATTGTCCAATTGCTGCTTTTTTTGAAGCAGGGATGACTGCTTGACATTAGGCATATGGAGTCTGCCCGTTAATAGTAGTTTAAAGTGGTCAAGAGGTTACGGCAGTAAGGAATGTTAGTAAAAATGTCTCTGTGGAGTTTAAACAACCAGTATTTTAGGCAGGGCTTGGTGGGTTACTGTCCCTGCACAAACAACTAGAATGTGAGAGTCTGGGCTGGGAAATACTTAAACTGTTTGGAAAAACTTGTTTTGTGCAGCTTGAGAGTGTCCCTGGAGGCTGTGGCCCGATGCCATGACTCCTGGTAAAGGCTGGGCTGCTGTAACAATGAAGCTTTTATGGGGAAGCTGGAGTACAATCAGAAACTTTTTAGTCCCAGGGGATTATGGGGAGGGGAGTTCCTGGGTTCAAGATGTCTGGCACATTATGCACATTTCCACCAGGATTTGGGGGTGTTCTATGGCATGCAAGGTATGCAAATTGCTAAATGTGTTTTCAATTTCGCTGTGTTGTGCTGTCTTTGTTGGGTGATCATTTTTTCACCAGTGTAGCCTGAAGACAGGATGGGTTCATAGCACGAGTGGAAAAGCGTTGTTGTCTCACAAGCATTACTGACCTATGAAGAGCTCATTATATTTTCATCTTCCAGCAGGCTCCTAGCTGGGCGGCTCCAGATTATTCACTGGGTAATCTTCCTCCAGTAAGAAGTGTCCTGAACTGAGAGGCATCTTTGATCGACCACTCCTTGCCGAAGTGATCAAAACTGTGTGCGTAGAAACTGTCTTGTTCCTCATTGCTATTACTTAACCTCGATCATTTGCATGCTCTGTATGGCAGATGTCAGCAAGAGGTCTAGCAACTTGCCAGACTCCACTCAGTCAGCATTACAGTGTCACTTCAGACCTTCTTCGAAGGCATCACAACACCGCTAATTAATTTGAGGGCTTTGTTACAGAAGGGAAGGCATTTCCTTATGGAGAGAGGCTTCTTTTACCAGTGGTGTTTGCTGGAAGGCACAGGGCAGGATGGTCCCAGCAAAGAAGGAGATAAGGGGCTGTTCCTGAGGGCAGAGTTAGCACTGCCACTGTGCATCCATGCAAGTATCTGGTCTGGGAGGTCTAACCCTGATCCCATGCCTGCTGAAATCAATGACAGGATTTCTGCAGACCATTGAAGGGACCATTGAGAGGCTGAGAAGCAGCTAACAGCCCAGTCTGGCATGAACAATTTGTACTGCAGTATCCACATGTGCCACACACTGGGCTGGACAGATCCTGAGCTCTGTGTGGGTGAGAGGAAAGGGCCTCACACGATCAGGGCCTGGTGGTTGAGAGCCTGGTGGTCAAATCTATTTTTCTTAGATGACAAAAATGTAGTTACCAAGCTGAGACTGCCCAGAGGTGCTCAGACTTGGTGGGTTTTGTTGCTGGAGCCTCAAGGAAGAAGCCCGGTGTTGAGGGGTCTCCCTGCTTTGTCCCCCATTTTGTGCATCCTCTCCCTTTGCTTGCTGAGGTTTCACCTCGGGCCTGCCTCCAGTTTGGAAACACTGAATAGCTCTTAATGACAGCAGCACAAACAAAACCCTATAAAGACTGGATTTGTGATTTATGTGGGGTTAATTACCACAACAAGTATGTTTATTCACTTCTCTAATAAATCCTAAAGACAGGAACAAGTACTAGCTTGACCAGATTCATCCTGTGCATACGTTTCTTCTGTCACCATTTTTGCAAATCTATACGAGCAGGATAGATAAAAAGAGACAAAATATCTCCCATCATGTAGATACTAGCCCATGGCCCATGTGTGCTCTTCAGCCTGCCAATGGCATCAGCATTTACTTCAGATCTTCTTGAGGAAAATAAGCTCCTTTGTGACTTTTGCAGTCTTTTTTTTTTTTTTTTTTTTGGAAGGAAATAAGTGGATCAGAAATGAACATTAACTACAGCAGGTGTGATCTATTGCTCTGACACCCACTTGCCACAGGAGGAAGGTAAGGTCTCCATTTGTCTCTGCTAAAGGAATGCGGGATTTCTAACACGAGGTTAGAAGGCTGCAGTGGCAGGAGCTGGGGCATGCCCAGGCCCTGCAGTGCGAAGCTGTGCTTCAGTGAGGGCACTCCATAGCCCATCACTTGCTCACTAACAGAATGACTTGGTTCCATCAATTTGATTTACAGGAGAGGGACCTGATGTAGAGAAATGAGCAGTGCCATTGGGAGCGTGTGTTTTTAAGTGATAGATCACTGAGTGACTTCATGTAGACCAATGTGACACAACATTGTCCTGTTTGGTTGTGTTCTGATATATGTAGGTTGCAAGAAGGTTTTCTTGAGCTGCTGATTCTGCTTTAGCCATCTTCCACGTTGCCAGTGTCCGTGTCTGTGTTGGGCTGACTGCAGTCCCTGATTTGCTAGAGAAGTAGTTGCCATGGCTCGGCGCTGTGCCAGACGGGGCCCCCGCCGCTCTGAGGAATTTGTGTCAGATAGAACATTTCGTACGATGCAGAAGGTTCTGTCACCTCGATTCGAAGGAAGTTGTTTGTGTTAATGCTTAAAGGTAACGTGAGACAAGGCGAGCTCTTTACTTTGGAACACGCGCTGTGCCATTGATGTACGCAGTACAGTAAATATAACAAAGAGTGCACTGTGGTATTTACACCCACCGCAAACACGTTTGCAAAATAGGATTATTTACCATCCAATAAAATAGTACTGCTTTTAAGGCAGAAACCCTGTGTGTTCAGTGAAGTGTGCTCCTCAGCTTTTCTTACCGTTTATCGACCCAACACATTCCTCCCCATTTTTTTTTAATGCCTTCCATTAATAGTTAAGAAAAACCTAGGGAAAACAAACACTCTTTTCCTGATTGTTTATTCACCAGTCTCTTAGGAACCATAATTACGTCTCCCAGGAATTGTGTGTTTTATCATACTGTATATCTTAAAGAGCCACTTTAGGTAAAATAACAAGGAGTGCCTTATGAAGGAAAATTGGATTCGTTTTAAGACTTTTTTAACCCTCCAAAGAATGGCTCTTTGTTTACTTCTTTAGTGCATGTGGCAACTTGCCCAAGTAAATACTATGCTGCATAAATACCAGAGATTGGTATTTATGATATTACATAAACATACTCTGAATAATGACTCATTGTTGCGATGAAGACGAACGCAAGCAATATACATCGCAGTCAGTGCGTTATTTCTTGTCACTTTATTAAGTGGCATTGAGCACTGTAGGACAAAATGACAGTGGCTGGAGAGGAGAAGTCTGATTGCATTATTTATCAGATTTGAGTTTACAAAACAAAAGAGAAAACATCCAAAACAGGAAGGTTATGAGGATAACAGAGCAGATTAATTATCAATATGCAGGATAAGTAGTTAGGTGCATGCTGGGGTTGACTGGAAAAAGGTTTATTGCTCTTTGAATTGAAAACTCATGCAATGCGTTTATTCCGCTGTCCCAACAGGGAGCTGAGCCCTCAGGTTCATCATCCTACCTGTGGTGATGCTCATGTCCACTTGTGACAATAGTATTTCCCTTATGGAGCCGCTCTTTTGGTGGCTTTGTTTCTCAGAGCCTCAGTCTGTCCAGTGAGAGTTTTGTTACACCTTTACTGCACTCCAAAAAAATTGTGTGAGGATTTGTGTGAAGGGAAAATGTGGCACACTTTGCAGTGCTGCCAAATGATGGAGCTCAGATCTGAGAAATCAAAATCCCAAAGGGAAGGTGCGTATGCCAGAGCCTCTATTTAAGGCCAGCAGGGTATTAACAACTTATTTATTTTTAAAGCACATGGTTATAGCCTGTCTTGTCCAAACAGCAAAAACAACGGACACTCAAATTCTCAAAGGACCACTGAACCATCCCTTTAAAAATGATGATGAAAATTATCACCCATAATAATGGACTAGCCTGAAAAATGTGATTTTTTGGAAATTCTGTTCTTTCCCTGAAAAAGCCTTTCAGGAACAGCAGAGAAAGTCTGCAAAGTGGGAGGGTGATCCTCACAATACATGGAGAAGTGGGATGCTCAGCTGTGGAAGCACTCTCCTCCATGACTGCAGGCCTGCATGCTGTGGTTGAGGTGAGGCTTCTGGTATTTGATGGGGTTTGTCACCAGCAGAAGAAATTTTCTTCCTAGGTGTGAATAAAGGAGTTCCCATATTTTCCTACCTAAGTGAACATCCTTCATGCTTGCATGCTCGAGAAGATAGCAGTGGATGGGGCCAGCAATTTCTTGCAAAGTGCCCAGGTTTATGGAAACCACTGCATTACTGCATGGTCAGTTGCTGTTTATTGTGGTTATTAGACTGTGCCTTTTTCCTTTGATTTTAACCATTTCCTTCCTGGTTCTACTTCTTTAGTCAAAACCCACTCTGTGTAAGGAGAGCTGTTTTTATGTACTCTGGGTGCCATGTGCTGTTCCATCCCATGTGCAAAGTTGTACTGAACAAATGTTGACTTTTCTCCCTTGTGCTTCACATACTTTGTACAGGTTAGTAGGGAACATGGGGGACAGAAGAACAGAAGTCTGCTGGTCTGCAAAGATCAATGATGTCTCCTGATGCAGGACACAGCAAGCTCAGGTAGCTCGACTAGCAAGCTTAGGAATGACAGTGATGCTCTCTGTGCCATCTTGGATAACACAAAATTTGTGCCTAGATCCCTAGTAGACGACACCTCAAAAGACTGCATGTGCAAGTAGAAAGGAGGGAGATACCTCCCTCATATGTCCCTATTTTCCCAGAAAAAAAAACAGAGCTGTAATGTATATTAGCAAAATTGAGAGGACAAGAACTGTAGTCAAACATCAAATTCAGCCACAGTTCTATTTCTTCTTCATACTATTATCAAATCACACTGCCCAAAGCCTCCACATCTGCTGTGCTTGGTTCTCTTCAAACACAGGATATCGTGCTAAGGCATCACTCCTTTATTTGGATTTTGAAGCCATGCCTCACCGCTGTTTGTGTCAAAACAGTTACCTGTGCCAGGTGGCCTTAATCTGTATTCTTACCTCACATTGTCTGGGGTCTGCTGCTCTGTCTTTCTGGGAGCCTGCGATATAAGATGACAAGCTCTGGACAGCACTGAGGCCAGATAACATGCAAGCCCCATCCCAACCCCACAGAAGTCAGTGGGAAAGCTAGATGGACAGCTGTGGTTTTGACTCAGGCCCAGAGATACTGGAAAATAACAAAGGGGACAGAAGGAAAGAGCTTGGTCAGCTTTCAGGGTTATTCCTCATTTCTTTTAAAAGGAATAAATACATGTCTTTTGTTATGACTTTCTCAGAATAAGCTTGTGCTGTCAGCTAGCCATGTCTCAGCAATGTGCTTGCATGATGAAGGCAAGGCAATTCTGAGCTTACAGGCTTAACATCCTTTTTCGGTACAGTTCATTGTAAAGAAACCTGAGTAATGCATCTTCCCTCTGAAATGCTTGTCTGCACTGCATAGAGAGCATTCACACACTTTGCATAAGCCTGAGGATCACACTGACAAAGAATGATAGCACTGCTTAAGTAGTTAATTTGGTTATTTATTCATTTAAGTGTATGTGAATCAAGACATTTTTTCTGTGATCTAAAGTGACTGCCAAACCTCTGATTAGTTTGTAGCTTTTACTGTGTCGTTTCATTCTTTTGTTACATAGGATGGATGCAAGCTTAATTCCACTGGCAAATGCTTTGAAAAGGGCAGCCTCTGTAACACCTCCCAAAGAAGAAAAGACAGAGACGGACTGCATGTCATTCCTTCGTTCCTGCCTGCCCATATCAGCACTCACTATGCCTACGGAAATGCACAAGAATCACACAGTTCTAGGCAAAATGCATTTATGTGAGCACTTGTTCTTCTGTGCAGAGCTAAGTACGTCTGCCCTGCAGCTATCCTGAGAGGTAAGAATGGCTCAGAGTAAGGATTCTGTACTCTACTGTTAATATTTGTCAAATGTTGTAAGATTCTCAAGTCAAAGTGATGTATGGACCACACCCAGAAATGCATTATGTTGAGACGCTATAGATGTATGTAGACAGGAAAAAAAAAAGATTGACCTCACCGAACTTTGTACCATTCTGGACAATGTTAAACTTTGTTAAACTTCAAAATCACGTTTTAATTCTTCAGGTCAGTGACCCAGCAGCGAGGCACACTGCGCCAGCACCGGAGAGTCACTGGAGGAGGTATGAACTACGCCAGACAGAAAGCAGTGGTGCAAGGTACTGTTGGTAAGGGAGATGGCACTCAGGCTGGGAAGCATGCGTGTATGAAACAGAGATGGTCCTTTACCTGAACACATGGGAACTACATTCTTCTTGTCCTCTGTTTCAGGAATTGGAGAGCAGGAGTCCCCTGTCCTGCCATCCTCTGCCTGGGGGCAAAGTAGGGCTGAGGAGACACTGGTCAGCATTCAGGTTTTGTACTGGCTTCATGTAGTTGTCACTTGTTCTGTTCAGCTGGGACAGGAGCCACAAACACATCCATGCTCATTTCTATCCTGTTCAAACTGGTGGTCTCCATCCCACAGTGTGGGGTCCACCTCCTTCCCTGCAGGCTGCTGGGTTCAGTTAGCATCTCTATGGTCTCTTTTCTCTTTGTCACATCCTTTACTTTCAGCTAAGTATCTACTTGCATGTAGGGCACAAGGGGTCTTAGAATATGGGTGAAAGCAAAATGAACAAGAGAAGTTCCATGAGGAAGGACAGGCTGGTGACCCATGTTGTCTGTTGTTTGTAAATAGCTTTTCTTGGCATTGCTTCTAACTGCTGGGTTATGGTAGGGTTGTGCTCTTGAATTTCTAAATAGAAATAAGGTGAAAAAACTACTTTTTCACCTGATGCTGTGCAACTGATGCAGATGTCTGTGAAATTACCTCTGTGTTTTAGCATAAGACCAGATAAAGGTATGTGGTTTTATACCTTTATACTCTATAGAAGTTTCTGTTGCTCTGCACTACTCAGGACTTGGCCAGTCCCTATGTTGCAGCTCACCTGTCCGACTTCAATCCTTGGTTAGCAACTTCATAGAGAGGATCTGAAGGAAAGCTCAGTGGAAAAGGTGCTCATTGTCTCCATAAGAGATTTTGTCACAGTTGGATAATAAAATACAAAACTGGCCAGGATTCCCCCATTGTGATGTTAGTGGTGAAAGTACAGCCCCCCCAAGCTTTCAGCTGCACTCAGTAGGTAGGTGCTGCGTCATGCAGTACCGCTTTGTATCAGTGGATCTAGAGATAACGTACTCGGGTGTTTGTGTGTAACCCACAGAGCGTCTCTGTAATGTAAGAGTTTGTCTTAGGAAAAAGAAAAAAAGATGCCAGTGGTCTTGTCAGATATCTCTGAGTGAATCACCATCACTTATGCTCACTGGAGAAGGTGACTGATCATTTTCTTCTCTGCAAATGCTCTAAATTCAGCCTGTGGTATGAAGAAAACAGAGAATGTTTTTTCATTCATTTGCATCAGTGTGCTAATACAGGTTTTGCAATCGGATTTTATCTGACAAGATGATTAATTGTATTGTTGCATGAGAGCAAGTGGAACTGAGGTCCATCTCCCATCACTGTGTTTGAATCTCCATGTAGTAAAAGCTTTTTAAACATTTTTTAATCTTGGCTTTTGTCAAGCATGCAGTTTTGACTTGAAACTAGACCTGTTGATTGAATTCCATTTATCAGCCACTTTATTTTTATAAGAAAACTGAGATCAGCGTCACTGATGATAAGAGCCAGAGTCGTGTAAGGGACTGGAACTGCGATAGCTGTTCTCCTACAGCCACAAGCATCCAGCTGGTATTATTTATGCACATCGACAGTGGGACACGCTCAGACTTGAAGGACTGGTGCTGACCTTCCCTTGCTAATCATTTATACACTCCTTGTTTTGAGAGCTCCACCTTAAGGTTTCTCATGACTCACTTTCTCTCTGGAGTGAACAAATAAATCCTGAAGGACTCTGCATGCTTCCAAGTGTGTAACCTGTCCCCTTGTACTGGTCCTGCTTTCAGCAACAAAAGCTCTTGAAGTAGCAGTGCTATTTATTAAGGTGTGACCTCAGAGCCGTAGGACTTTGAGAGCTGAGAGGATGGTGGCTTCAGCTTGGCTTAGGCTTATCCTAAAATGTCGATCCATGGCTTTTGTGGGTGCAGTGAGTGAGGAATAAAACTCCTCTGCAATCTCTGGAGGCAGGAAAATTGGGCATAGAATCATAGAATGGCTAGAGTTGGAAGCATGTATAGTTCTCTCTCTAAAACGGGAGCAGCAATTCATGTCATCTTCCTGAACTTCTGTAAGGCTTTAGACACGGCCCACATAACATCTTTGTCTCTGTATTGGAGACAGGGGTTTGAATGGACTGTTTTGTGGAAATGGAATTGACTGGAAGGCCACATCTGGGGAGTTGTGGTCAGTGGCTCAGTGTCCAGGAGATCCGTGATGAGTGATGTGCCTGAGGAGACACATAGATGTTAGAGCCTCCAAAGGAGGCACACAGAAATGACAAGAGGGCTGGAGCCTTTCGCTTTCAGATATCCTTTGATTGAAGGGAATGGTAAATTGAGACCTATTTCTGGATTATTCAGAACAAAAGACTTGATACTGGACACTCAAATGCTGAGGGTACTGCTGATAATCCTTGTTGTTCTCTCTGTATTGGTGGGTCCATCTGGGAGGCAGGGTTGACATCCCCCCCTTTACTTTGCACTGCTTCTGGAAGTGGTAAAGCTGTACTTAAGCAGCAAATGGTTGCAAATGCTTTGAATATACAAATAGTGTAGAAAGGTGAATATCACAAATAGTATGACTGTATTATGGAATATAGGAATAATGAAAAAAAGGACCAAGATTGTCATTAATTAGATGTGCAGTTCATGAGCAGAGGGTTGAGCTTTGAGGAGCAGGCAGGGCTGAGAGGAGAGAGCAACAAGAGGGTACAAGAAAATACTACCTTGTCTTTGTCCCTCCCTCTTCCCTAAGAGGAGCTGCAGGGCAATGGAGTGGGTGAGAAGGACATCCCAGCTGGAAGATCTGCTGAGAGCTTTGGAGAACTCGTTTGTGGGGTCAGGGTTGGTTTGGCTGTGGGGTCAGAGGTGGAGGGGAGGGAGGAACATGCTTTGGCTTATGTTCCAGACTGTGGGACTGGATTAGGTGCATGCACTTGGGATAGGCTAATGAAGACATGTCAGAATGTCATTGTGAAGGAGAGAGGCTTGATCTGCTGTGCCATGTTCCCCTCATGGTGCATGGGCACATCTGCCAGGACAGAGCTTAGCACAGCACTCACAGGGGAGCGATGTTAGGCGCTATGGGTTGGTCCAACATGAGTAACTCAAACTGCAGGGGTGTGATGCAGAGAAGGATGTGGTTCTTTTAATTCCTTCCCCTTGTCCCATTGTTTCCTTCCCAGGCGCACGCAAAATCTTCCTCTGCCTCTCCCTCCCAGCCCAGCTTTTCTCCTCTCTTTGGCTGTCCTTTTGTCCTTTCCCTCCTGTAGAGCCAAGCTCAACAGTGCATACCCACACCCAACAGAAAGGGACTTCTTTTGGCAAGTTCTCCATATCTGGGACCCATATGTCAAGTAAAACAATTGTAAATGGGTTTAGTTGGCATTTCTTTGGCACGGAATGGCAGAAAGCATGGGCAGGAGTGGGTTCTTCAGAAAAGCTTGGATTTCACAGCTGTGCTCATGAGTGGCACTGAGGGACATTGTATGACCTCAGAGCCCGGTCCCACCACAGAGGTGCAGTGGGAGCCCAGGTCCTGACTCCTTCACTGCAAACAGGAGGTTGGGAAGGTCGGGCTGTGAGCAAGCAGGTGCCTCCTGTGCCCGGGACGTGGAGGACATGACCTGCCCTGCCATTAGCTATTAGAGTCATGCTCCCCCTGGCTTCAGAGGATGCGTTACGTCTGGGTGAAGCACCACACAAGGTCAGGGTTACATTGCCTCACATCACCAAAACACAAATTCATGTATTTGTCCTAAAGCGAGGCTGGTGCAACAGGACAAAATGGAATCATGTAACAGCTGGGAGCCAGGGTGTGCTGCAACGTCAGAGGAGAAATACCCCGGCAGCCCTATGGGAAAGCAATGGTGAACTCTACTGCCAGATTAATCAGGCTTTTTCTTTTGCCAGTCACGATGTCAAAGCTTTTCTCTGCATGCTGAAGATCCATGTCTGGCACTGGGAGTTGCAGTGTGGTGGAGCTACATCTTTTAATGGAAGTTCCCAGGCTGCGTGCCAGGACACTGCAAACAGACACATTTATGGTCTTTCAGGTACAAACACGAGTGATTTGTGATCAAGAGGAGGATGTGGTTCTTTCCACTCCTTTGCCCCGTCCCCTTCTAAGCCATCCAAAGCACACACAGCTCTGCGATGCAACCTTCCCAGGGCTGGTACACAATATTCCTATTGTAAATTACTTCAGTATCTTCATGAAAAATTAGTACAATCCCAACAAGCACAGACTATTAAAATACTCTGTAAATTACTTGTCTGGCTTCACTGGAGTAACTCAACAAGTCCAGCAGCTGTAGGACTTATCTCACATCTCTGCTGCTGAACCTGTGCTCTTTTGTCACTGACTCCAGTGTATAACTTTGTTAACATTGAACAGCTTGCGAATTGGGAAAAATTCCTCTAGGAATTTGGAATTTATATTTCCTTAGTGATGCTGGACCATAATAGACAGTACTCACACTAGAAGGGACCTGATGGTCAGTGCACAGTGTGCTGAAAAAATGCATCTCTACAGGCAGCTACAGGCAGCCCTGAACTTGCTGTGCCCACGCCGTGCAATGTTCAGGCCACTGCTGGCCCCACAGCTGCTCTCTGCCATCAGAGCAGGAACTGCAGAGCAACGTTTTTCAGAAACCTCCTTGGGTTTGACAGTGAGGAACATGGCTGCTCTGTGGTCTTGTGGTGCACGTGACGGTACGACTGTGTTGGGATGTACAAAGCCAACTGCCATCTGTGTTGCAATGTTAAGAAAAGTTGAAGGCGTTTATGTCCAGCAACAGCCCCAAGGTGCCCAGGAGCAGGTGTGCTGGATGCAGTGATCTATGACAAAGCAGCAGGTTATGGCCTCACACTGCTGCTTTCTGTCAACCTGCTCAGAGAGAAGTATTTGTGGCGTTGTTGGTCTCGTGCTTCATGGCATTATTTCTCTGAGACTGAAAGTAGGGGACTGCTTGCCATCTCAGGTTGGGTATTGCCTGATGTTTCCCTTCTAACAATAATATAAAGCCTTTGTGCATCAGTGAGAGGGGGTGAGAGATGCAGGAACTGCTGCCTATGCAGCATTATTTACGGAGACCAGTGCTGGGTTATTTCTCCTCCTCCTTCACCTCCTCCACTCAAGGGCATTCAGATGCTTTGTAGACAAAATGTGTGGGGAGCAGTAATATTTTTACTGGGCCAACTGATAAACAAACATATTTTGGGAGCCGTTCCCAGGGCCACGCAGCAGTTCTGTGAAATGGAGGAAGTCCTGGTGCAGGACTCCTGGGCTTTACCAAAAGTCCAGAAACCACTGTTTCTCCCTTTGTGGCCAGTCCTGTCTCAGCAATATTTTGATTGCTCTCCTATAAAAAAACGTTTTTTTTTCCCTCTGGGCTGTTAATGTTACCACATAGATATTTTCTATCAACCTACTCCAGAAAATTTAAGTTATTCTGAAAAGGGAATTAAGTAAGGAAGATTTACTGCAGTTTAAAAAAGCCAATGCTTGCAAGACATGTCCCCCAAGGAATGCTCTGTGATCCAGAGGATCATTTCGTACCATTGCACTGGCAGTACTTCATTGGTCAAAGCCTTTCCGTGTTTCTTCCTGGGATATTAACATGAATTTATTCATCAGTTAAAACATCTAGCAAGATGAAACTTGTTTCCATAAGTGGTTTGATTGGAGTAGCATCAAGTTATTTAGTTGCCATTTTTAGTGGCATTTTTTGCAGCACTGATTATCAAGTACTTATTGGTTTCATCCCCTTCCCAATAACCGGGGCAAAATTTGGAAGCATTTCACACCAATCTTTGCAGAACAAGAGCAGGATGGTTTGTTCCCCATGTGGGATTTGTTCTACATTTGCTGCATTGCCGGGTGTCCTCACCTGGCTGTCTGTGCTGCTGCCTCCCTGTGTGTTGTAACCTAAAGGGGATTAGAGATGGCTGCAAGGTGACTCCAGCTTTACCATCTAAAGCTGAGTTAATGGAGGTAAATGGTACTTAGATTTCTGATTCTCTCAACAGAAGAGCCACTTGCCTTTATGATGGGTGGCACTTAATCACAAACCAAGGCACTTCCAGTCTGGTATTCATCTCTGGGCTCTGCAGAAAGAGCCATTGCTGTGCTGGGCAGGGGCTGCTTGGTGGTGCCAACCCAAAGGAGAGCTCCCAGTCACCATCACCTGTGATCAGCTGTGAACATGGGTGGGACCAGGCCTGTTCCACGGGCCTGACAGAGCGGAGGCACAGGCGCACGCACATCAGATGCCTTTCCTGGCAGGGGTGGGTCCCTGTAACCTCAGCGGGTGTCACAGGGCGAGATGAAGCTTTAATGGCACTTTAGAAATACAGGATTCAAGTCACCTGTTCTCCCAAGCTTACTGCCTGCCATAGATGGCCCCAGCAGGCAGTCTCCTCCAGCACTGCCATAGGTGCACAGAGCACTGACTTGGCTCGCACGTGGCACTGCTGCTGTCACAGCACCCAGAGCTCTCCCATGCAGTGAGCAGCGCTCCTCTGCACATGCTTGCACTGAAGTCACAAAGCAAGGTGAGCCCACTGCCGTGCCAAGGGACATTTTTGTGTCTCAGCAACCTGCTGTGGCAGCAGCTGTGCTACCTGCAAAGGATGGTTTTCCCTGTTATGGGTTTCTTTCCCTTTCTGGATGTGTCACAGAGGCACATCCCTGTCCTCTGTCCCCTTGGTGATGGACCTGCCTGGGGTGCTCTGAGCCAACCCCAAGCTTTCAGCCGCTGCCAAAGCCCTGGCAGCATCCCACGGAAGCAGACATCACCTTGCAGCCTGCCGTGGCTGCTGAGCGATGCCTGGCAGAGGTGACTCAGAAGTGGGGAGCCCTGCTAAGGCCCTGGCACATCCCTGCACTGAAACACTGCCTACAGCCTCCTACCTCTGCCCAGCTCGCCCTTCCTGCCACCTTTCCCCCGGGGTCCTAACTCCCAACTTTGTTGCTCTATAAACATAATAACAATAATTATTCTCTCATTGGACACATAGCCATCTTCTTTGTTTGCAGGCTTAGATAAATATCATTCAAATCATGGAGTCTGATTCATGAGTCAGGATGATGGCAGCCCTCCAAAACCTCCTTGCCCATGGAGAGTGTGTTTGTGTGAGAGAGATAGAGAGTTTCACTGTACGAAGAGTAAGAAACTGGAAGCCAAGTGAATTAAATACAAAGCAGATAATTATGTGTAATTCATTTACTGACTAATGATTGCACCTGGTACAGAGGTTTATGAATTCATTTCACTCTGCATTTGTTCTCAAAAACAATCTCTCTGCACAAGATAAAAACTAGGCCTGTGTTTACACTGGGGTTATTGTAAGATTCTGTCTCTCTGGTTCATTCCCTGTTTTTTCTCACGATGTTTCACTTTTCCTGAGTTCACCTGGCGTCTCCTTGGCAGTGACAACTGCTCCGTGCAGGTAGGGGCTGGGTGCCACAGCAGAATGGAGCCTTCACTTCTTTCCTGGAGGCTGTGTGCTGTGATTACAGACAGGGCTTATCTCTCATCTGCTGCAGCCAAACTTTGCCACCAAGGCTGTGCCTGCAGTGGGGAGCAGCAGGTCATGGCCTCCCTCCCCTCTCTGCTAGGATGGCCAGCAATTTGCGGCTCTTTACATGGTGTCACCCAGCTGCCCCTGCAGCCTGACACCATCAGCTCCTTCAAGCTGAACAGCAGCAGGCAGTGTCAGCCTTCACCTGCTGTCAGCTGGGTTGAAGAACCCAAAGGGGCCTTTGGCAGGGTGAAGAAGCTCATGCCTAATCCATGGTGGCCAGCAGTGCCATCGGTGCTGATGTCACACTGAGGACTGCAGCCTGTGTGACACTGCTTGCACTGTGAGTTTGGGAGCAGAGCTCTGGGCACGCTGGGCCTGAGGCTTTGCTGGGTATGGGCAGCAGCAGGGACACTCCTGAGGTGATGATCTTACCATGTGGTGGAAACAAAAGACCTTTTCCAGCTGTATCCCATGGGCAGTCATCAGGCATCTAGCAAAGCCCCTTCTCCCAGTCCATCAGTGTGTCAAAGGTGCCTCACCTTAATCATCCCTCACCCTGCAAATAAATCTACACACTCAGTTCATTGCTCAGGTCCTCTGTGATGGCTGATGCTCAAAGCAAGAACTGCTGCTTCCTGTTCAGTGTGCCAGCACCATCACACAGCTGGGCTCTGTCCAGTAATCCATCCATTAACAGGATCCAGGAGAGGTAAGTGCGAGTAGGAGAGGGCTACATCTGCAGGCACTGGCTGAGAGCAGATTTCTGTGGGATGTCCTTTAAGACCAACTCTGGGAAAGGAACCAACTGGAATGACATAAGGAAGAGGGAATATACTTGGCAGTTTGAATAGAGGCTGGTTAGTAAATCGTGACATGCTCACACTGAAAGAACATGCTGAGTTCACCTTCATATGCTTTCCAGCATTATTTCCACTGAGCCTTTACTGAAGCGTAATAGTGAAGCTGAGCTGGTGGCTGCCAACGAAACAGCTGTAGCAGCAGATCTAACCACCAGTGCTGCACAAACACAGTGGGAGGTGTCTCCCTGCAGCCACCGCCAGCACTGCGCGGTGCCAGGAGAGCATCGCTGCCGCCCAGCTCCTCCGCTCCCAGCACAGCACTGCCCTACGCCCTGCAGCCCTGCTGGGGAAGAGGCGAAAAGCAGTGGAGGTGCTGCTCTCTCCATCTGTGGCAGCCATGGGTAATGAAAGCATCAACATCAAAAAAAAAAAGTAACCCTACGCTCCAGTATTGGAGTGATTTGTCATTAGAAAAGCCAAAACCAGCTCATCTTGTTCACAAGTGCTCCCACTGACTAAAGCGGCAGTCAGCGTGCGCTTTGGTTTTGAACCCATGCAATCCTTTTCCGATGAAGACCTGACAAGCCAGGACAGATTGCAGTCCGTGAGATACTCATGGAGTGATAGCACTTTACCTGTAGGTGGATCCTCATTTTAGATAGCGTGAAGCAGAGCCAGTGAGCTGATTCACTGCTGTACTCCAATTTTTACCAGAATAACATCACTGAATCATCAGCAAAGTTTGAAATAACAAATGATAAAATGGGACCATTGTGTTTAAGTTTGCAGCATGCGTATGGAAATGACTAGTTTTCTTGCAGAACAATTACACTGCATGGATACTTTCTGTGTGCTGTTTCCCAAACGTATCACAAAGATGACAATATGACATTTAGGCAGCAGTTCTACACGTCAAAAAAAACTCACCAATTAAAGTCAAAGGTAACAGCTGGTGGGAACAACCTCAGCATACCTAAGGTGGTTTTTTTTATTATTCAGAAGAAAAAGGAGGATGATGTGAACTTCAACAGCTTCTGAAAAGACTCCATTTTGTGGTTCGTGTATTTCTGCACACCAGCTAAAGCCAAGAAACTGCTAAGTTAAAAACATAGTCCTGGTTTCTCTTCTATTTATGAAAATACTTGCTGAACAATTGAAAAGAACTGCGTAACTGTGATTTTTTTGCAAGTAATGCTCTTGAAAAGCAACTAAAGGCAACAGGCAAGCTTGCAATTAGTAGTTCTAATTATAAAGTGTATACAGAAAACAATGTAGCATCATAAGTAAAGGCCAAGTTCAAATGATGCAATAGGAGTAGTAGAACACCATGTAACAATGGGCAAAGCATCCAGCCAGAGGAATACTTCTAAATGAGCTATAGTTTTGCCGTCAAAGCAACAACAACAAAAAAAGAAGAGAGAAAATAATAGCACAGCACTATATTCTATGTAACTTCTATGGTCATTCTTTCTCAGTCCCACTCAATGCTCGTGCTTCTGCTGTAGCCCGCAGTCATCCCTGGATGACGCAGCCACAGAGTAAGACCCAGTAATGAGTGATTATTGCAGACTGGGAGAGGGGGAGGAGGGGTGGAAGCTCCCCTGTGTTGTTTGTTTATCCAGGAACCACTCTGTGCCTCGCTCCCATTTCCATCACTGACAGCAGCTATCAAATAATGTACTTCCTACAGGCAAGCCACATTTCTGTCACATACAGGTTAACAGGTGTTTGAAAACAGGAAAAACTTAAGTGTGATGCAGGGGTCTTTGCTGCATAGTCTACGGTGCATATACCTGTGCCTCTAAACTCCACCAGTCTCTGACAGCACTTCATGTACTGCATTAGGAAGGCCCTCTGCTCTGCACCAGTGTGTGCAGCAGCAGCACAGGGTTACGTGCTGCACCAAAGAACTGCTCTCAGAATTAAGTCCTGGTGCAACCAGAGAAGATGAAGAGACATAATACCTTAGGGAAATGGTTTTATTTATTCTGCCTGGATGTATATATTGCAATCATCCATGTAGCATGATCCACAATGCTGAAAACCATTTCATTATGTTCTATAAGTAGGAGCCTGATGTGGTTCAATTGTATCAATTATGCAACTCTTCTAAGTGGTGTAGTCAAGGGTAAATGCAGGCAAAGGGCACTCCCTTTGTACCTGCTTCTACTATGGGCACTTCTAATATTTACCTGCTCCTCATATACCACAGACAGATGAATCTGCCCACTTCTATTTACCGCTGTATCACTGACTGCTCTTTGGTCAAGAGCTTTTCCTATGCACCGATGACACAATGAAATAGAAAATGGAAGTCAAGACACTGCTATGTGTTTGTCTGTTGTGCAAGATCTAAGTGTGGCTGTAATTTTGAGCAAAGCATTGGTTTTAAACAATGTTTAAACTGACACTATTATTATGCAATATAATTAATTATAGCTAGAAGGGCATTTGAGGTTATTTGGCGCTACCTTTGTCCATTTCATAATTGTACCAAGAGAATGACTAAGATGTGCCTAGGCTAATTGTATCCATTTGGTTTTATCCCTACTCTCTGCCATCCTAAGTCACTTGCATTCTCATCTGAGAGTTTTTTGGAGGAGTGTGGATGTGTTTGTGCCAAATACAATGGAGCCCAGGCTGCCTAGGCAGCCTCAGGTAATACTGCAATTGAAGCACTAACACTAGCAATAATAATTACTGCTAGACAAAGTGATAAGTACAAAACAAATGTCACTTTTTTCAGTCAGTTATGGTTACCTACAGAAGATTTATCCTTATGTGCTCCTGCTCTGTGCATTCTAGGACGTGTTTGTGTAGCCAGAAGATAAAGCTTGGTGGCATGACGTGACGTCTTCCAGACGTACTGGGAGCCCTGCAGACACCTCCAGAGAGCAGCTGAAGAGCAGCAGCAGATGGCTGCGGCAGCATGCAACACACCAGCCCCACTGCCCTATGTATCATGGGGGTTCAGTGTTCAAGGGATGCACAGTGCAGCTCAGAAGCCTGGGCTGATGTCACTGGGTGCTGCAATGCAGACACAGCGCTGTGCAACCTCTCTGCCCCAGGACCTGCAGTTTGCTGCTAGTGTTAGGGCTGCAGTAAGGATGGCAGCTCACCCAGCCTCTGGAGCTGGCTGCCCAACAGCCCAGCCACAAGTGCCGTGCCATATTGGAGCTCAGCAGCTGCCCTGAGCTGGCAGGCTGTGTGCCAGCCAGACGAGCTGCCCAGAGGTAGCGGTGAGTAAGGCATCTCTTCTGAATGTTACTTGGCAGTGTCAGGATTAAAACCAAACAACCAACACAAACAAAAATAAAATTAAAAAAAACCCAACAGTGATAACAGTGACTTCCCCAGAACGGAATCAGGTTAAGAAATGGTCTTACCTTAAGAAAAGGCTCACTGTGGCTTTCCAGAAGGGAGTTCACAAGCAGGAGGGGGAATCGACATTTTACACAGTCTGACAGACGGCAAAGGAGAATGGCTTTAATCTAAAAGAGGGGAGATTTAGGTCAGATGTTAGAAAGAAAATCTTTACTCAGGTGTGGGGGGCAGAGTGGCAAGGCTAGACTCTTTTCAGCAGTGTGTGGAGACAGGACAAGGGGAAATGGCCAGAAACTGCAGCATAGGAAGTTCCGCACCAATGTGCGCAAGAACTTCTTTATGGTGAGGTGACGGAGCACTGGAACAGGCTGCACAGGGAGGTTGTGGAGTCTCCTTCTCTGGAGATATTCAAGACCTGCCTGGACACCTGCCTGTGCGACCTGGTGTAGGGAACCTGCTTTGGCAGGGGGTTGGACTCGATCTCTGGAGGTCCCTTCCAACCCCTACGATTCTGTGGTGAGGCACTGGCACAGGCCGCCTGGAGAAGCTGTGCATGTGCCATCACTGGAGGCATTCAAGGCCAGGTTGTATGGGGCCCTGGGCAGCCTGATCTGATGGGTGGCAGCTCTGCCCGTGCCAAGTGGGTTAGAACTAGATGATCTTTAAGGTCTCCTCCAACCTAAGCCATCCTATGATTCTATGACTGTTCGGTGACAATGAAAGGCTACGGTCTTCAGCTGGATACTGGATTGCACTTGTAAAATAGAACTGCCTGCAAGGGCTGAATACCATAATTAACAGGCATTTTTTAGAAATTATCGGTTAATGCCATGTAATAGAAATACTGCCAACTGTTGCTGATAAAACTTGGTTTGTTCCTTTGGTGGTAATGCATAATGACTCAACACTGCTTCAATGGGAAGATACCTTTGTCCGTTACATATCGCTACACTCATTTTTACAATGGTTTATGTGGCAAATAATACAAATTCTGAAACTTAAATACAGCTTCAGAAAGCAACTAGAGTGCCAGCTGTGTCCTGAGCAATCACAGTACTGACAGCACAAGGCCTTTTTATCATATAGCATTAATGATCCAGTCCCACTCCCAAGCAGTGTGGCCTTTATCACCAATGCTGTTTAAGCAGGACTAAACTTAAATGGTTCTAGAACAGGGAAACATGCTAATATAAGTTTCACATCCATCTGGTACATTTCTCATGCAGGTTATACATGACCACCCAGAGCACTACTCCACATTTTTAGTAACAAAAAATGAGCCATACTGGGGAATACAGGTTGTGCTGAGATAATGGGTTGTAGTCACATGATGCAGCTGTCTTATCACCTAAGAACATTTTCACAATATTGCAACAGTGACTGAAAGGTTATTTCTCAAACCTTGTCTGTCACCCAGTAGGTACCAGCTGAAAAGTTTCTGTTTGATTGCTAAAGAGTAGAAAGCAATGAGCACACATTGGCAAATCTTAGATCAGGCATGATGTAGATGTTGCACACCTCAGACTAACACCCACCTTCACTTCAGGGAAAGGAGAAACCAGACCTGCAGACACACTAATCGCTCCTGCTCTCAGAGCTCCCACTCACCTGTTTGGAAATGAACAGCAGAACCTTGCTGCTTTCTATTTACTGCACTGAGAGCCAGTGATCTGAGTACTTCCAGTCATCAATTACATGGCTATTACGTTACAGCATTTTATGATGCAAAATTCTCCTAAAGTACAAATTAAAAAATATACATGTAGTCTGTGCTGAGACTGACAATTCTGATACAAGAAGGGGACGTGAAATCCAATCTCTGCTCAGTTGGGAGGAGCACAAAGGTGATGACACACCACTTAGTTTTGGGACAGCTTGGAGGTGTGGGTGTATGACCCGCCAAACCAGGGTCACTTCACCCAAAGGAGGGCAAGCAGCAGAACTGGGCTGTCATGCACAAGACTCAAGCTCCCAAAGCCTGGTTGCACCCACTGCTGAGCAGAGACTGCATCCCATCAAGCACAGGAGGTAAATGTCCTTTAGCTGTTTCTAAGGGGAGGCACTGCAGAGCACACAGGCACAGACACTCAGCAATGCTGGTGGTGGACACACGCAGACATGGCTAAAGAAAGCTAAACAGGTTGCATCAGCGCCAAAGGGATTCGGGCAGCCCATCCCACTGGCTTTCAGTAGCACTGAACATGACGGGCTCTCAGACAAACCTGTGGATCCCAGCCTTCATGTGACACTGGTAAGTGACTCTTGTCAGCAGAGCGTAGCAACTTGACTTATTCCCTTTCACAGAGCAGACTCTGGCCTGGGTACTACCCAGGGGAGAGGCAGAGCCTCACAACTGGAAGGCAGGCACCAGAAGACACGTGGGGCTGGAAGCTGGACAGTCCCAGCACTCAGGTCAGAAATAAAGCTGCTTTTATAGCCAGGATTTCAATATATGGTCAGGTTGTCTGAGAACTTCCCCAGCAGCAGTGTGTCCATTAGTTGACATGCTGCAGGCCTGTATCAGATGACACTGCTATTACAATGCCTACAGAGGTATGGAAGCTCATATGTTAACAAATAATACTGAGTGAATTGATTCCTCCTGCCTGCATTGCAGTTGGGCTGTTCTACTCCCTACACTAAACTGGGCATTAGGAGACAATTTATTTCCTCTTCCAGACCCCATGTATCATTACAGCTGCAGTACTGTTGTAGACCAGCTAGAAAAAGTGGACTTGTGAATTTGCCTTCTCTTTTGAAATGTTACTCCATCTACCCACACCTCTTCTTTGCTAACTCCAGTCATCCATCCCCAGGACCTACACCCACTCTGATCCCAACTCACTGATGAACATACATGGAAACAGACCTTGCTAAATAGATTGCAGCTCCTGTTCCATAGCTGTGTTTATAGGATCATTTGGATACTAAATCTAATACATACATGAGAACCCACTGGTTGAGTAAGGTCTCTGGATTTAGTGCTCACTTCATGAAACAGGTTACTCAGCACAGCAGCTCCGGGTGCCCCAGGACACAGGGCTCAGCCAAATGGAAGCCTGACCCCGAAGAGGTTATCGTGGGTTCTGATGCTGTTTGGGAACTTCTCCCTACAGTGACAGGACACTCAGAACCTGAGTGAGGAGACACCTGAACCATTTGGTGGACTCCACCCAACAGAGGTCCCATCAGCCAAGCTGCCAAAGGTGCCCTAGAGTCCCACACCTCTGTCCCAGGGAAAGCCCTGTATGCTGGGGACTGGGACCCTATGAGCTTGGGCTTGCTTCAGTTAAGTTTTCCCACTTTATATCAACAATGTCCTGAAAAATGGAGGATGCAGAACAGAAAACTCAGCATGGCACACTGATGCACAAAAGGTTTCAAATGGTCAAGACAGGGAGAAGTGGACTAACTCTGGTATTTTAACAGCTTGGCATTGATGGCATAAATTAAAATGAAGTGTGCTGGATGTTTTATTTTGTGTGTGTGGTAAACTGTACAGTTAGAGTCTGAATAAACCTCTTCTGTCAATTTTACTACCTTTCTGATATAAAAATAAACAAACTTAAACAAAGAAGAAGTGGAGACCTGCCAAGCCAGCCTACGTTGGTAAGAACTGCACTGACAAGGGAGCAATTGTGCCTTAAAGCTCAGGGGCTGAAATGATCAGCTTTTGGGGGCTAGCAAAGCCCTTCTGGAAGGAGCTGTTCTGTATGCAGTAGGAGTTACACTTAAAAAAAAAAAAAGACACTGTTCTGAAAGGCAACAAAAGAACATCATTAAGATTTCTGCTACCAGAACTGCTTCCCTGTTTGATGGGAAGGCTGCATGCAAATAGCTGCTGTGAAATATACCAGGGTAACAGCACCTAGGAGCATTTTAATGATGATATAAAATTCACAAGTAAATGATATAATGTACTAAGTAACTTACTAGGCTGAATATAAAACAAAGGCTTCAGGAGTGATGGTTTTACCCTGCAGTGAATCTCAACAACGAGTTCTAGGCTTACCAGTCCAATGCCAAACATGGGAACTTCCAGTAGGCAGCAACACGTAATTACCGCTGGGTGGAGGTGAATCAACCGCTTTCCGTCACGAAGCCAATGAGGGACCCTCAGACAATCTGCCAAAGGTGGGTGGGTGAATGAGTGTTACTTTCTTGCTAGGCTCCCATCAGGGCACCACACCTTGTGATATTATCTCTGTAATAAGCAAACAACTTTAAATGATATTGTGTCACTGCAAATGAAGCAGGAGGGTGACCCAGCAAGTCAGATTTCATTAGCGCATGAGGGACTGCACTCCAGCATGCAGGTACACACACACTTACCTTCAGACCTTCAAACCTCAGCCAGCCGTGCAGAGCAATATAAACCTTAGCCATACATGCCTGAGACTGTGTCTCCTTCAGAGATGCACATGGACGTGCACACGCACAGCAGGCTTATCTCTACACCAATGTCCTATTTGCTTTTCTGTGTGCCACTGCTGAAAGTTTTCTAATGCGCTAGGTAAGAAGATTGCAAATGAGGCAGAAATTCAGCTGCTCAATCACATTAATATTGGTACAGTAAAAGATGACAGGATTACATATATTTTGTCTAATTAGCAAGCCATGTGCACTGCTGCCTGCCCAAGTGTTCATGCACTCAGGCTCATTGCCTCCCACCACTGCACCTTCCTGCCTCTTTCCTCAATTGCAATTACCTGTTCTAGTTCCAGTCACAGGGGACGTACCTGGTCTGCCAAACTTTCCAGCTGTGAACACACCAGTGACTCCTGCCAGTTCTGACTAGCATTACCAAGAGTTTTCCATACAAAAGGAGTGATTCAGAAGACTTCAGAGGTGTCACGTTGGCTGGGAGCAAGTGCTGTTATCTGTCACAAGGAGAGAGCTTCAAGCCACCCAAGGGCATGCCAGATTGGTTCACAAGGGCCTGAACTACAATAGCTAGATAAGTATGATGATAGAAAGTAAGAAAGAAAATGGTTGGAAAGTCACCAGGTCGGACTGCGTGGCCAGAGCAGGAAAAAGGCTTTGCCAGAGTCATACCTAGTGAAACTCAACCGTCTTCTGTGAATTCAACCTGCTACAGGCCATTGTGCTAGTGTGTATTTTGGCAAGTGCCTGACCCTTCCTGTTGACTGAAATACCCATGCTCTCTAGAAATGACCAGGCCTGCACCCAACTCTCCAAACAACTAACCTTACCCCTTCTCTCTTATTTCTTCCTCTTTCAAAACCAGTCAAATCCCTGCTGGGTTGGCACTTGGGTCAGACAATACCATGCTCTACCATCTGTTGATCTGGTTCCTCCTTGTTTCCTGTTTCTTCCGTTTAGAACTGCCTTATGGTAACACAAAAGCCATAGCAACAACAGTAGGATGGTCACTCATGGTGGCCAGGCTGGGAAAAAAGAGACTCCCAACAGAGAAGTAGTAGGCGTGTCCTGCCTAGGTTCCTTCTGAATTTGACCTGCTCAGCCGCTCCCTACCAAAAATTCCCTCAACCAGCACATCAGGCTCATGCCGTAGGTGTCACAAACTCCACACATGTAATCAACTGGCTTCTTCTGAAAGGGATTAGCCTAAGCATTAGCAAAGAACTAGATGTAATTTTTAAGGTATCAGTACATTTTTTATCTGGGAATATTACCAAGCAAATCCATTGGAAGCCATTTCCAAACACACGGACAAGAATGCGACTCAGAACAGGCAGCGTGGATTTACTAAGGTCAAACTGTATGTGGCCAACATGGTTGTCTTCTGTGCTAAAATGACGTGCTGGATGAACAAGTTAGGGATGTTTGGATGTCACTTACTCTGGTTTTAGAATAGCCTGTAACATTGTCTCCTGTCCAAAACAAACTGGGGTGGTACAGACTTGATGGATGGTCCACAGCATGCCTGGAAAAAGCACATGAAGCTCAAAAGGCAGTAATGGTCAACAACTAGACTTTTAATTAATTGGCATTAAGAAATGGCATTCTTCAAGGGACAACACTAGAGCCTGTCTTCACTAGCATCCTGCATGAAAGGCTGCAACGCATGCTCTACATGTTTGCACATGACACTGCATTCAGGGTGTAGATCATTGTGCTGGAGGACAGGACAGCCATTCACATGTTCTTCAGCAGACTAACCTGACAGAGATCTCAAATATATCAAAGAGAAAGACAAAATCTGCATGCGATACAGAATTAATCCGTGCAGAGGATGGGAGCTGAGTGGTTAGCAAGGAGCTTCAATGAAAAAAGCACCTGGGGTCCCTGTGGACAAAATGCTCATCATGAGTCAGTGGCCAATTGCACCCTCATTGCACAGGAGATAATGGAACCAGATGCTCATCAGCACTGTACAGAACAAGGGCAATGACTGCAAGCTGAAGTAGGAGAAATTCCATTGAATATAACTGGAGAAATGATTCAAAATGAAAACCGACGTGCACTGAAATGGGTGCCCAAAGAGTTCTGTAAAATCTCCACCCATGGAGACTTCCAACATTTAACAATAAAGCCCTAAGTAGCCTAGGCTCATGCAGAAGTTAGCCCTGTCCCTTTGAGGAGGTTAGCTGCAGCCCTCTGGGTGCTCTTTCCAACCAAAATTATTTGACTATTTTTTAATTTTTTTTTTTTTTTAACAGCTGTCGATCTGAGAGACCTGGCTGGAGTTGGTTACAGATTCCTCGAAAAGAATGAAGCTGTTATCTCCACAGCATCACCTGCCAGTTATTACTTATTTGTAATATGAATGAATTCAATGCATACATCACAAGTCCAGACAGTCAAGAGACTTCAGTTCTGAGATTTTATCTTTGAGGATCAAAGAACTGAACTTTCTCTCTCTGATCTTCAACCTGAGCAAAAAAAGAGGTCTGTCTTTAAGGTCAAAACCTCCTCACTTCAGAGGCAGCATGAGAAAGACTATTTCTGGGCTTTATTTTGGATTTATGCAGCTCTCATACATTCTTGTAGTGGCACCTGGACATGTTGTGAGACTTTCTAATAAAACAATTGTTTTGGCCTGAAATGTTGTAAAAGCAGTGTATAACATGGCCTCCAAATGCAACACCTACTTCAATATCTGCATCCCATCCTACCATACATACATGCACATTTGTATGCAGCAACCCCGGCTGCCAAAGGCTCAGAAAATCTACTAGCTGCCATGAGAAATGGTTGCTGGGTTTTTGCAGAATCACACTGCAAATGTGGGCTGTGGATCCATGAGGCTGTGCCTTCCAGCAGCATGGGCTGCAGTGCCAGGTGTGCCGGCACACCAGGAGAAGCTAAGGACAGAGAACTTCCTAAAAGACACTGGTGTGCAAGGGTATTTTTACCTCCCAGGCTCAGCAGAGACACAGGTCACCACAGTGAGTCACAGCCCCAGATGTCCCTTGAAAAACCGCAGCTGACCCAGGCACTTGCTGTCAGAACCACAATGAATGCCCAGAAAAAGCAACAGGCTTAGCCCTAATCTCTGCACCAGTTAGGGTCTGTGATACCAACACAAAACCCGGACCAAGAAGCAAAAAATAAATAAATAAAAGTAAGAACCCATATGTATTTGAAAGCATGTCCAGAAACAAACAAGCAAAACCTCTTATCCAAACAAATCATAGTTAGATCTTGGGTGAGACCATGTTTATGAAGGTTTAGCCAAGAAGCTTGCTTGGAGATACCTCTCCAGCCTTAGCATAACACAACCAGCCTGGACAAGTGCTACTAGAAAACACTTCATTAAAATGCTGTTGTGGTATTAATTTATAGGTAGCAATTTATATCACACCCATCATACAAACCAATCTGGCAGCCACGATTGCTTCTTCCACAACACCCCCTGCCCCCAGCCCATCTCTCACTGCCCCCAGTCTCTTAGCAAAACAACTGCTTCCCACCTGACACAGCCATCCCTCTGAATAAGCCTTTGTTTGAACTTCTTGAGCCCTATGTGTTCCAAACACAGGTGGGCAAAGATGCAACAGTCTCAAGAGCCAGGCACACATCTATGGTGCTCTGCAGCTAGGTATTCTTGGGTACAACTGGTGACCGCTGCAGAGCTCTCCCCAGGAGACACCTGGCAGCTGCATCTGATGGAGAATCCAAGAGGCTTTGGATATATCAAGGGAGAATACCAGAGAAGATTCTCTGTGTGTTGTGGATGCTGATGGAAAAGCCAGTGTGATAAAACGCCTTACAAGAAAGCACTGGGTGTGTCTTCAGTGGGGAGAAGGAAAAAAAAAATAAAAGGAAGAAAAAAACTGGCAAAAAAAGAGGTTAGATGAGGTAGCTGGGACTGCCAGGGGCAATCTGAAATCAGTTTACATTAGAGCAGGTTGCTCTTGATTTTGCTACAGCAGTTGTCACGCTTGGTAAGAATAACAAGCTATTCATATGGCAGCCACCATTGTGCAGCTCAGCACATGCAGCCTAGTGGAAAGAAATCCAAGCAAATGCAGTGACTAGGATAGGACATTAAAAAAATGGTTATGTAAATAAGTTTCTACTTCAGAAATCTGTGAGAACAATTGTTTCCCTGTAAGAGGGCTTCATCATTGGAGCACATGAGGCTTTATCCTAGATCTGCACTTTGAAATGCCCACATATACAGCCTGCTGCAGCTCCCAGATTCTTCCCACTGTCTGTCCCTTTCAATCTCCAGCTTTTTTTTAATACTCTCAAGTTCTTCAGCTATCTAGAGTTCCACCTTCATGCATGCCCAGAACTGCCCCAGTCTTGACAGGGCCAAGCAGCTCAGCCCATTTCACACCTAACTCTGATCAGGATCCAAAAACTGGGCGTTGCTTTGCCTGAACCCCCTCAGGGCTTTGATTGGGGATTATATGTTACCTGGTGACTGTTCCACGTAAAATGCATAAACAGTCCTGGGAGCAGAGTCCAGACTCTCAAACTCCCATGTGAATGCTCAAACCGGTAGGAAAGGCAGCCACGCTCCCTCGCATGCACTTGCTTTGTGGCCCAGTGATTCAATAGCACATTGCTGAGTGCAGGCAAGCAGTGCCTGCTCCCCGCTGTGTCGTCTGGATGCTCTGCAAGAGATGGAAGGTGGGAACAATGACCCTAAGGACAGCAGCAACCCAGTTTGTCACTTTCTGGCTGCCAGCAATCAATGATTCAGATTAAATATGTTTTCTGTGACAGAAAGGCTGTCTGTACTCACCTTCCAGAGGAGCTGTTGGGCTGGCAGACTTAAAAATTTTAAGTTTTCCTATTAGTCTCTCTGGTCCCAGCACTGATAGTTTTGGATGTCGTGCAGAAGCATCAGGCTTGCCTTGGGTACATGGTGTGGACTGCTGGCTCTGAAGCTGGCAGGTGGGCACTACAAATCAAAAAGCACAGAGCTTAATACTGAGACATCAAAGCACTCCTGGGTATAACTTCAAAAGTTTGTATCTGCACATGGTTACATCAGGAAGTTACTCAGCCTGGGCACTCAGGTCTCGGAGCAACAAACGAGGAGTTGGTGAGGCAGCACGTGTTAAGGCATAAGCACCATTGAGAAAATCTGTACTGCTGCTATTGCTTCAGAAGCAAAGTCCTACTTACCCCAGCGCTGCACTAACTGCCTCCTGGGTAAGGCTCTCCCCCTGACACACTCTGGTGCACGTCTCTTAATTTAAGAGGAGTGAAAAAGCTTGGCTTCTTCCAAAGAACAAACAACCGTATTCAGGTAATTATTAAATAGCAAAATGCTCTGTGTCCGTTTGCATTGCTCCAACAAAGTTTTTTTTCAATAATTATTTATTGTAAAAATGCACAAATGATAACATTTCTTTGAAGAAACACCACACAAGCCCAAACGCACAAAAAAACGCCTGTAAAACACCCTATTTTGCACACAAAGCAAAAGTTGCTTCTAAGTTTCACTTACTGCAGCAACTGCTTCACAGCCAGTTTCCCCATTTGCTTCAGTGCTCAGAAAGTTCCTTTGGAAACCACTCAGCACACCCAGTAGACACACACACGAAACACAGAAAAGAGCCAAGTCACTTCTAGCAATTGCTCTCAGGTACCAGCATAAAGAACAGACCTGTTCACACTGCCCCCAGGCCACGATCTGGGGGCAATGTGAACAGGTCTGTTCTTTATGCTGGTATCACAGAAGAACCTGGAAAGAAAGCTTTGAAAACTCTTCTCAACTGTGTAATTTGGTCCAAACTAATATACTGGGTTTCCACCACCACTCACGTTTGGATTGCCACTGCATTCCCTACCCTGGGCAATACGAGAAACTCCCAGCTAAAAGCAGAAGCAGCTGCCAGCCATGCTCTGACAATCTCATGTCCTCCACAGCTTGGCACGAGGCAGAGATGCTGTCCCTGCTGGGTCTGGCCCCAGGACCACCATTAGCTACAGAGCCTATGGGTGCTGCAGGGCACACACAGCGTGCTGACAGTTGTCACAAAGGTTGGTGGTTATTTTTACTGTGCTGCATGTGTCTGTTGGTCAAAATACAAGTGCAAAAAGGACTGCAGACAATGAGCACTTTCAGCATTTCATCTCTAAGACAGCATGAAAAACTACAGTGACCTGCTAAGGGTCTGTACTAAAGGGGTACAGGGGCTGTAGCTAAGCACCTGAGCACCTCTAAATGAATGCAGATATAGCAGCTTTTGAGCAAGGCCTCTGTTAGGTCAGAACAGGCTACAGGAGCTGCATGGAAGAAGGCTGGCAGGTGAATGACAGGTGCTCCCCTATCAGAGGTGCAGCAAAGCCCAGGGCTTATGGGAGAACAGAAGAATTGTGTCTGAGGCTGATGACTGCCAGGGATGTGAAGTGCTGAGGTGCATGCTGAGGAAGCATGTTGGTGTGCTAATTCCTGATGGGGAAGGCTGCATGGTCCAGCAGCAGCAATACAGTGCTCTGATCCACAGCACTGTTTGCAGGGCACTAAACATGCTATTCAGTGGAAATCACTAATGGCTACAGGAGAAAATTAACAGATGGTCATGGGGGAAATCTCCCAAGAGTTTTTTTTTCCCCCTTCTCAGTGATAATAGACTACTTACCATTTTCTGAAACCACCTGCACAATTTCCCAGGCATCGTGGCTGGCTGCTGGTTAGAACAGAGTGTGACTGTAGTGCTGTTTGCAGCTTTCCATTATGCACCTCTCCTGTATCCATGAAAGACTGCATAATCCAGAAATTCACCATCACGATATCATCGAGACTGATGGGGGTTGATAACTGATGCTCAGGATTAGGTTCAGGGAATACTTAGCATCTTCTAGCTAATCACATTACTTCAGTACCAGATACACCAGCTTTCCCATTGATATTAGGGGAAGAAGCAAAATCCTGACTGGTCTTTGGAGGAATAGTGCAGTGTATCACTGTTGCTAATGACTCCTGAAACTCACTACAACAGAAACAACAGATGCTACCCCAAACAAAGAGCAGCAAGAGGAAACAGCAACACATCCAGGGACAGGCACAGAAAGCTCCACCACCCTGGGTGTATAATTCTGTGGGAAGGTGGGGATGGGCAACAAATATGTATCTCATGAGTAATGAACACGTGTATTTTCATGTGGCATCACCATTCTGCAAGGGCTGCCAGTTAGTAATGCTTGCTGCTCTCCCTGCCAGGACATGTGACATACAGCAAGGCCACATGTTCCTTCAGAGCAGCGTAGCAGCACGAGATCTAGGACTTCATGCCACCTTCCTCCTAGACTTGCTTTAGCTAGAAGGTATTTGCTCAGACTCTCAGCTCAACCAGACTTCATAAAAGCAGGTATCAATTCCATTACAATCCCTGCTGCCCACACCAGGTGTTCTGGGATAAACATCCTCAGCACATCAGATCAATTCAAGAATCTCTGCAACTGTACTGCTTGCCAACCATCCAGCTGCAGCCAGTCACACAGGTACAGACACACAGGGCAGCACCAGCCATGCCAGCTTCTCCAGGCAATGTCTGTTCTCCCCTTCTTCCTTCCCCTTTTCAGTATCTCAGAACAGTCGGGCAAACAGAAGGGGCATCCAAAATACCTCTTCCCTGGCAGCCAACAGCCACTGACCCCGTTTCCCAATGCATCTGAACACTCAAGTTGCAGAAATCCTCTTTCCATCCCACTACAAAGACCCTACAATCTCCCAAGTGTTCTTCCCTGTATGCTCCTCATCTTCCTCACTTCCACAGCTGCTACACAGCCTCAGTCCTCTGCTCACTGCCAGACAACGAATGACTGCAGAAAGCCCCTCCCCACCACTCCTCTGCCACTGCCTCCCATGGGGGCAGGCCCAGGAGCTGAAGACGACTTTGATACGGCTCTGGTATCACACAGATGTGATCTGCTCTGTAGAGAAAATCTGCCCTCACCAAGCTTGTTCCCTCCCACCTCAGTTAACAGGCATTTAGAACCGGGCTGTTGATTTGTTAAAGGATCACTGCCTCCTGAAATCACATTTCAGGAAGCCAGAAACTGCAGTTTGCCATCTGCATGGTTCCTGTTTCCAAAGGTGACCTCATGCGTATGTGCACTTGTGTGTGCACCCCAGCTACCTCCCTTCAAGAAATACCTGTGTATGTGGCGAAGCCCCTCACAAACCTGTGCTGTGGGTGTGTGCTGACAGTGCCTCGCTGCCTGGGTGTTGCAGTACTGCTCTTGCAGTGTGCACATCACAAGCTCTATTTCAGGGAATAGCTGTGTGACATCTAACGAGCCTCAGGCTGGTGCAGCTGAAGGACACGAACATTAAGAGTTACAAATGAGAATCTGTGGTTAGCTGGCAGCTGGCACAAGTATTGCTTTTTTTTGATAAGCACTTTAAGTGTCTCATGAATAGGAAAACCTTTTCTAATGAATCCTGCCTGTGCTCAGTAAGTGAACCACAGAGGACAGAATCCAGCCCTTTCCCAAAATACCAAACGGTATTTTGGGAAATAATCAGGACAACTGTTGCTTGGACAACAACCACCTTTTTTGGCAAAAGCCCATGACAAGGCAGAGGTTGCAGTGCACACGTGCTCAGCCCTTTGGAAGGATACTCTCAGACACCCATGTCTGAATTTTAACCGTTGACTATGGGCCAGGCTCTGAGATGACACAGGTGGTTTTGCAGGTTACATCAGTACCTTGGCAGGGTACAGTAAGCAGGCCAGCTACCACCACAGCTCTGGACTGGCACACTTCCATAGGGAAGATGCACAGGTCTGACGGAGTCTAGGGGAGAATTTCCCAGGAGACAAATAATGCTCTATCTAGTATTTCACCCTTTGCTCAGTTTCCGAGACAAGCACTGGCAAAATATGGAAGGTTCTTTTGCTGCTACTGCTGTGGATCCCCAGCTACAAATAAATCCTCTGCACAGATGTTGAAAATAATCTGTGAGAACATGGATTATTTCTAAACCAGCATTTTCATCTAGAACTGTGTTGGATACAATGGTGATGGAAGGACAGCTAAGCTAGGCCGATTCGTTACAGTAAAGCTGTGTTGTACTTCAGATTACTTATTAACAAACAGCAAATGGGCCTCTGCCTTGACCTTTTTCATTTGAACAAATATACTCTTCCTGCCCCCTGTAAACAGCAGGTACTGGGAACTCAGTCACGTACCCCTCACATTACCAAAGTTAGCTTTCTTCATCTGCGGCAAGGAGTTCGGTCAAACTGAATTCTGCCAAGCTCACTGAGGTTATTAGCAGCATTATTAGCTTTAATAATACCAGCAGTAATAATAATTCTCTGGATCACCATAGACTTGAGAACACCTAAGTAGTTCAAAAATATTAATTAGAAAAACTCAATAGGAGGTCTGAGAAACCAGCAAAAATTGTCAGCTTCACTTCAGAGCTAAGAGCTGAAAATAGAGTCACAGCAAGCAGAAGCAGCTGTTTGCCTGAGGAGTTTCAATTAATGTGTGTTTCTTCGGTGTCATGAAATGTTAGGTGCCCACTGCCTCTGGCAACACTACCAGGTTAAAATCAGCAGCCCACAGTACGTATCTGGAGTGGTAGCAGGTTTGGGAACTGGAATCCAAAGGATAGTTCTGCCATTGAGACTTGGCCTTAGACTGGGATGCGCTCCAGGCATCTTCTGCATTGGGAATAATGGTCCCTTGGACTCTTTGGAAAATTCCAGTCCTGACACTTCAGTGCAGCTGAAGACCAAGAACACGCCTAGAACCTACACAGGCTCCTATGCCAACAAGTCACCAACATCCAATCCTCTTATATTAAATCTTTTTGAATGAAGAAGGTAAACTATGACAAACACTCCTACAGCTAACAGCTAACTATTTCCAACCTAATTATTTCCCTGCCTTCTCTCTATTTCTATTAAAGCTCAAGTGGTGGCCAAGTCAAGACAATGGCACAAAGACGCCTGCAGTGTTCATCTTGGTTCTAAGTTAATTTTTCCTGCAGATATCATCCCAATCCACTTTGAATCACACAGCATGAAGCACTCAGTAAACAAGGTGAAAGTTTCATCTAGATTCTTAACCAGTGATGTTGCAGAGTCTTTGCAGCAAGGGGTAATTACTTGTATTAATTACAGGCTCCTCTAGGGTACATTATGCCACTGCATAGAGAGGATTGGACATACAAATTGGAGGAGTGACTCTTTTTGCTTTCTTTGATTTGTTCAAAAACCTTACCATTTGTAGGCATAAGAAGGACACAGGCAAAGTCAATCTCAGTGTTTTGTTTGCAGTCAGGATGACGCAGTGCCAAGAGCAACAGCTTCACAATTGAGAGATCCAGGTGCTGTTTCTCACTCTGACACACACTGCTCATGTGACCTGGAGCATGTCACATAACCTGTCTGTCCCCATCTGTAAAATTAGGATAATGGTAGTTAGTTCATGTTTAAGCCTGAAAGATGTCAAAACATAAGAAAAAGGAAGCTTCTCTTCATTGAGTCTTCATCCATCAATGCCTTAAGAGTCACAAAAAGCACTGTGTCTAGATTGATGCCATTTTCCTGCTTATGGTATGATCACTGGTATCTGCCCAGTGGGCAGCTTTTCATTCTGTGACTGTGCTCACTCAGTAAGGCTGGCTTTTCATCAAGCATGTCACTGCTCTGTACTGCTCATTTCTGTCCCATGTTCTTCCACCCCTTTCTAAACCCTGATGCCCTAAGGTGCTTCACACTCCTGAATCTCACCAGCAGGCTGCTTTTTCTCTAGGTAGCACCACTCAGAAACATCCTCTTCCAGGCGCTCACCCCCAGCTGCTGGGTCCCAGGTCACAGCCACCCCCAGCACGTCTGCACTGCACTGCGCTGTGGCAGATCCCACTGTGCACTCGGCCACCCCCAGCTACTATGCTCTACCACTGACAGTCAAAGTAGGTTAAGATAATGTTGCCACAGTGTGGACACCAGCACAAGAAACCCTCAAAAGAATAACACCAAATAATTGCATATTTCTTCCCTCCTTAAGCATACCAACTTGTAATTATTTGGTGGATACATGTTTTTTAAAAACACAGCTGCTTTCTTGACTATTCATTACTATATGAGATAGACATTTCCTTGAGAAGTAACTTTCTCAAAGGATTTTTCTATTATCTGGAAACATGGATGACAACTTAATTGTCTGACTTCACAGTCACAAAATTCACTTCATCCAATTCCCTCAGATCCTTTACACAGTTAGATGTTCTCCAACTTCGCAATGAACTTGAAGTATCTGATTTACTGATAATAAATCCCAATGCCTTAGATGTCCCTGTACATCTCCTGTGACATCCACTGTAATTGCTCCTTACATACAATTGCTAGGTTTGACATGTTGTGAGGTGTTGCTCCTGGGGGAATGGCAGAGTCCATTTTCCCCTCACTTCCCTTTGTCTCAGAGCCTTAGTAGCAGCATCTCCTCATTAGAAGCACACTCAGAAGTTTTGGTTGTGTGATGCCTAGCAGCTTCAATAGAAGTCTCACAGCTGCCATCCCACACAACGGTTTGAAGATTTGGGCTGTGTTTCATCCCAAATAGACTACTCACAAAAAGTCTGTCATGGTTCAAACCATGACAAAGTCTCGAATACAATTCAGGCACAGTCACTGACTTGGCCAGTTCTCATCACTTATATGTTATCTTCTGGTAGAAGCACCGCCCAGGCTGACGCTTGGGCAGCATGGAAGTAACACTGCATCTCTTGGCCAGCAGGCCCTGGAATACAAACACAGACCTACCAAACTGGGGGCTCTCAGCACATCCCTCTGGTTGCATTTTCTGGCATAACATTTGACAAACATCAAATAATTGCAGGAAGAACGTCCCTAACACCAGACAGGCTAGAGCTCTGTGGGGCTTCTAAGGTCCCAGCCTCAGCAGCACGTGGATCCAGTGCATGAATCAAAGAGCAGGAGCACACCAGGGGCAGGCCCACCTCACAAAGCACACATGTACAGGAGCTGTTCCACACCTGCAGCAGTGCAATGGTGCAATAGCTCACGTCCTTACCTCACCTCTCCTTCCTTCCCTTCATCTCAGATAACTCCGAACGCCTGCCACCAGGCTACTCAGCAGCTGCCTCCTGTACTCAAGAGCATACCTGGCTGCACGAATGGGAGAAGAGGGGACATCCTGCCGTCAATCTAGCCTCCGGCTCTCACACAGCTGAAGCAGGCATAGGATGACCATCCTGGGACAAGCCCAGAGTCCAAGGCAGCAGCCCATTTCTTCTGTCTGGTTCCTCTGAGGAGGGCCCCCTCGACTGCATGGAAGGAACAGGAAGGATCTGGAAAGCTCTGCGGCTCTGTGCCGTTTTCATGTTTGTTTACACGCGTTACTCCCTGAATGGGCAGAGGTCTGTGAAACTGCTGATTCATGAACATCCCTGCCATCTGTGGCCTCTTCAAATGAGAGCTCACCCTGACCCAAGGATGATTTACTTTTCTTGGCTTTTCATCTCAGTAAACTGATTCTGTCTCCATTCCCTCAGACTTCGAGGGATTTGGGTAAAAACAAATATTATTGAATCTCTTGAAGCTGCTGAGTTAACTCTGAGCAGTTGAGCATTCAAGGCTTTGACAGGGAAGAGAAAAATGGCAAGAGTTAGTGCTGGGAATGACTTCTCCCAAGCCTCGCACTCCAGCATTTTTTTCAAACCTACCAGTCTCAGCCCATTTGCCAAGTCACAGTTTGGAAACCACTGAAGATAGGAAACACTCTGCCATCCAGCACCTGGAGCGGGGTCTGAAGGGGGATAACAAACAGGTTAAATTGCTGGGCACCACACATGTCCATTCCAGATAGGATACAGACACCTTCTGTCTCATTACCAAAGAAGCTTAGTTTCCTTCTTCCACACTCCAGCTGCCACCACAATGTGCCTACCTGCTTTTTGCAGCTGTCTTCGGCTGTCGTCCTATTTCACTTCCTTCCTCTCTTTTTGCTCCCTGCTCTATCTGTTGCTGCCAATCCACTTTCCCATTAATGGTCACAGCCTCACCAAGCAGGGCGAAGCTGTGGTCAGTAAGATCTCCTGTCAGGGCATGTTATACAACTCTATTACAGCCAAGCAGCTGCCCCCTTCTTCCCCCCTAGCTATGTCTTCCTACTTGTGAAACCATCCCCTCAGAACCAGAAGAACCCGCTCCAGGGGAAGGTGCCTGAGTGGGGCCCTGAAACTCAGTTATTAGAGATGACACTGAGGTCCAGAGGTGCTCGGCTGCACCACCCACAAACGTCATGCGAGTGGAAGGTGCTGTGCATGCCTCAGAACCAGCCCTGGTGTTATCACAGGACAGATCATAACCACCATCATAAAAGCGTGCAGTAACGTCAGTTTAATTAATGGTGAGAAGAACTAAGTCTTGCCGGGCCAGATGGCAAATTCGGAGTTTCTCACGTGATGACTGTCAAATTACTGTCTCCACAAAAGAACGTCAGAGAGCACATTTAATAAACCTTGCAAACGTTTATCAGAGCAGCAGTAGAGATCCTGGCTGACCCACTAGGACCCTTGGGTGCAGACCCAAAAGCAGAGACAAGCTTCAAGGAGTTACCACCAACCAAATACCTAAAACTAGACAGTTCATAAACCTGACTTAGGCACTGAATTCCAGTTTCAGCAAGGTTCCTCCCCCTCAGTCACCTGCACTCTGTGGTCTGATTCACATGCAAGCTTTCTGCTCCCACACCAGCACAGCATCTCCAAGGAGCTGCATTTTTCCACTCTCATTCACAGGCACACAAGGATTGAGGGATGTCTTCTCCAAATGCCAGCGGAGTGGGGTCTGGCAATCCAGCTCCCAGCGAGACAACTGTACCTGAGCTTCCTCACAACATGAAGCCCTGATAGCTTCACTCTGAAACAAGCTGCTGACCAACAGTGGGACAGGAAGCAGAAACGCCCCATTACTGGGAGGCATGGTTTCATGCTGAAGGGTTTCACCCAGAATAACTGGAGGCTGGCTTTTAGACTGTCTCATGGGAAGTGAGAGATGAGCAGATTGAGGAACGCACTGAACCCAGGTCACTCGCTTCCCCAGTGAATGCTCTAAAATAAATGACAGTGACTTAGAAGACTGACACCAGCCAGAAGGAGGGAGTAGCACTCTCTTGTTTCAGCAGGATTGCTGGTTCTGTCCCTGGGGAGACCCTGGAAGCCCTCAGAAGACACAAGCATGAAGCATGCATGAAGTTGCTGTTTTCAGATGAGATGGCAAGGGAACTGAGAGTGGAAGGAGATCGCAGAAACAGCTGCATTTTTCCGGCTGTCCTCTAGACATCAAACACACTGTTTGGGAAGCCTCAGCACATAAGCTCTGCTCTTGACGTCAGGATCTGGCTCTTAAGGCTGCACAGCACTGCACCCAGTGTTCATCCCTGGTGCTCCTGGGCCAGCAGTCAGCTAGCACTATGATGGGTCAGGGTAATGGGGTACCCAAAGCACCAGAAAAAGGTTCCTCCACTCCATCCGTGCTCTCTGGACGAAAGGATGTGGTCTGCTGAAGTTTTCTAAGTCTCCAGCACATTGCCATTGACTAACCAAGGGAATTTTATCTTCTGGTGAGACTCTGGAAACAGTTTATTCCTCCTCTGTAGAAAACAGGATAAAAACTGAACTGACACTTTCATACTGCAGTACTATTTAGCTTTCAAGCTAAATAAATTCTGCCTCATCTGGATGAAAGCACACTGTACTTCCATGGTCTTATGTGTTACCTTGCAGTATTAACACAAAAAAGAAGCCTTCCACACAAAGCAATCAGAGCACATATTTCAAGTGCCGCCTGGAAGTTTCACATACAGAATTTCTCAGGTCTGCCATGAAAAAAGCAACATCATACAACTTTTACAAGCTGCTTCTCTTGGCAGACAGCATTCCCATTTTCAGTCCAACTCAAAAGGCTGAAGTGACCAACACCACTCAGCTAAAAGCAAACCCCTGCCATAGCTGCTGCAGCCGCTGCGGAGTTCTGCTTTCATGCTGCTGTTAGCAAAGGGAGTTTCAGAAGAATTTTGGATTGGCTTGGGAACAAGTCTAGCAGGGTGCCACAAATAGAAGTAGCAGAAGAAGGTAGCAGAGTAAAAATATGCAGTGTTAGATCGTGGGTACGGAAGTAGTGCAGACATGAAGCCAACGCAAGGGATGGGCACTTGCTACAATTCTCAGTGTATCCCATTTCCAAATTCTCAACAAAGCTCCTGTTTGCACTAATCTCACCTCCCTCCTTCACACTGACACGCACAGCCATTCTGGATAAAAACACAACATCTGGGTGCCTACAGCAAGGCGTTGCTCACACACCCAATGGCCTGGTTATTTTCCAAGGTGCAGACCACGTCCAGTTCCTACTGACTCCTGCAGGATTCGTCAGCCTCATTTAGGCATTTAAATATGGATTTAGGAGCCTAACTTTTGGCACTGGGGGTGGAAAACTCTAGCCAATAAGGCTGCACAATCCTATTACCACGACGGCTTGGAAATGTGAGAACTCAGCAGTTTGGAATAAGGCGCCACATTAAAAATAGATTAAACTGAAAACAGCCCATGCTGCCTCCGGCGCCTCGGACAAGTGTCTGCCAGCTGAGATGCCTCGCAGGTAACTGTTCGCAAGTGAATCAGGTGCTGGCTGGAGGTGCCCACAGCTGCCTCGAGACACAGACAGATTTTTATTCCAGAGACACTGTTTTTTTTCTAGCACCATATGAAACTCGGCAGCCCTAACCCTGCGGGGATCCGTGTAAACCTCCAGCTTGCTCTGGTTCCCATGGCACTCACATCCACCAGCTTCACTTTGAATTTCAGGCTCACGAACCCCCATTCTCAGCCTAGAGAGACAAAGGCTGCCAAGCCAGTGCTCCAGCAATGGAGCAGGACTGTTCTCCTTCCTTGTGACACTGAAGGAGCCGTGGTGGAGGCTGCCCTGCTGTGACACAGACAGCGTGACAGCATGCAGCGCAAGGTGCTGGGAGGACTCGTTTCCTGGCCCGCTGGCAGCCTGAGGGTGAAACAGGGAGAGCTTGTCTCCATGCCTAGTGGCTTCTTGCTGGCCAGGGACAAAAGTCACTTGTCCCTTTGGTTCCCCAAGACCCGCCCAGCACGACCGCAGAGACCTGACCTGCTGGCGGGCACTCATGGCAGTGGTGGGGTTGCATTTCAGCGGCTCGGCTGCTTCTCCTCCAACAGCTCCCAGAGGAACATAATGCTTTTATGCTTAATATATGCTGTCATATTCTATTATATCTTTTCTTTGGAAGTAACTTCTTAAAAGACCAAAACAAAACAGACACCCAAACCCCAAAATCCAACCAGAAAAGCGAACTGAGGACTGCTGCAGACATCACCGATGAATTACTGCCCCTCCAGCTGACAGGGAGTCTAGAGAAGCCGTGGCCTTGCCAGCTTCACAAGAGCCATCTGCCATGCCCTGGCGGTTACTGGTCACTAACAGCGTTTCTCTGGATTTCTGCTCTTTCTCTTCTCCATTCCCATGATGTGGTGAGGCCCTCGATAGTGGCTTTTGCTGCCGCATCAGCATTTGTGGCATAAAAAATTTGTGACAACAGAGCAAACCTTTGGATTCCACAGCTGGCTGCCTGAGCACAGAAATGACCGAGCACAACCCCAGCTCCTGGCTGTCCTCCTCCTCAATCAGTCCTGCCGTGCCTGATCCACGCAGAGGTCCCAGACCGACAGCCAGGAGCACAGCCTCACAGCAAGGACAGAAAAAGGACCGGCTGGGCGCACTGTGTGTATCTGCGTGTGGCTCAGCGAGCTGCAGTAACATCACAGGCACACTCCGACCAATTTCATCTTCAGCTGAGTACAGTAACTCACTGAACACTGCAATACACTTGACAGATTAAGAAACCTTTTGCGTTTTATTATGGTTAATTTCCTGTATATCTCTCTGCAGTTTATTTTCCCTGCAGGACTGTTTGGGAATGCCTTACAATAACAGGACCAACAGTACGTACCAGGTGTGCGAATGAGTAACTGCCCACAATAAAAGCTCTGCCAAAACTTTGGGGGATTTCAGAGTATTCTATTTCTGTAGATACAGGTCATCTGAAAACACTGCCTGGTCTTCAGTGGAATAAATAAAAACAGGTGATTGACAGGAGATGGGGATCCATCTCCTCCAAGCCTCAGGGTTTACAAAGAACTCCCTTACTTCCCCAGTCTACCTACAACCTACAGATTTCAAGATCCAGAAGGCACCTTTTTTCGTATGTAACTCTAAAAATTTACACTACGCTTTATAATCCTAAAATACCTCCATGGCACAAAGCCACGTTTGCAATACGTGGGTGGAAAAGCTGTCAGCATAGCGGAAAAAGAAATATTCTGCTGAAACTCCAAACTCTGCAGAAACAGCTGAGTCACTCGTTTGCAGTTAAGGTAGCCCGGGCTTGTTGCCCTCTGTGCCTGTCTGGTGCCTGGCACACACACCCAGCCCCTGCCTGCCAGGACCCAACACACCTGGGATGAGAGTGCTCCCCTCACAGGTGTTTCTCACCACGTACTGCTAACAACTGTGTGATGCTGACCAGCTGGAGGCTCAGAGCCCCGGGGTATCCGCAGCACTGCACATAGATGCACGCTGGCCAATTCACAGCCATCAGCTCAGCCCTGCCAGCAGGATGACACGCTGCAGTATCGACAACTTACAACCTGACTACAGTTCTTGAGGCAAATGATGTCTCCCCAGCCTCATGAGAATCAGTGTGTTTTTATTAAAAAGCAGAAACATAATGAAAAACTTGAAAACCTCACTCAAGTGCACTGAGCTAGAAGAGCAGAAGATGACGTCGAACAAAAAGATCTCCACATTTCATTCTCCTTCGTTAAGTCTCTTGATTTTTTAGTCAGGACTACTGCCTTGGTTGGTAAGAGGGAGCTGCCCATGAGCCATTTATTAGCACATAAAATTAATGAAATTGCAAAGCTCCAGCAGCCGTAACTGCCAACAGATTATAGACTCTACTAATGCAGTCATACGTGAAATCTAGAAAGTTGCTTACAGGGCAAGTTTGCCACTCTAAGATCAGAAGTAGCTTGGCATTTCAAACTCTAACTAACAAACTGTCTATAAAAGCTGATGTGCCACACTTTGGTGGTACGTGCCAGCAGCTGCACGTGTTGGTGGGGGTACAGCCCACACTGCACATCACAAACACCTGCCCAGGATGTGCACACAGCCCAGACATGAACTGTATCCTTGCCCTGCTCTCCTCTCATACTGGCATTCTGGGAGGTACGTGGGTGATGGAAGAAATGCAGGGAAGGATTCCCCTGTGTTTCAAGATTTTCTGTAACTTTTCTGGTCGCTCTCGTGTTTCACAGAACCCAGCAGTCCTCCCAGCAAGAGAGCTTTGCTTTTCACGGGAAATGACTCTGACTGGGGTGAAAAACATGCTTTTCTAAATAAACAGATGATGTTATGTAGCATGAAAGCTAACAAAATAGCAACCTCAGCATGCCTACTGCCTGCCTGCCATCACACTGCACCCATCAGGCTCTGGCTGGAGCCCTACGCAAGCGTCGGGCCCTCCAACAGAAGCTGTTGTACCTCTGGCTGCCCCCTGGCCTGGATCCCCCTCCTTTGGAGGCTTGCTCCCACTCCAGCTAAATCTGCTGCCAGCAGCAGCAACTCCGAATCTTCTCTCCCATACACAACAGCTGCTGTCTGCCTTTTCTCTTTCCTAACCTCCCCTCGGTATATCCCATTTTCTTCTGAACGCTGCAGGTCTCAGGCTGGAGCTGACAGCAGAGCTCCCACCTCAGCCCCACCACGGCTCAGAACCAGCAGCACCACGAGCTCCTCCCCAGCAGCAGCACGGCCAGGGAGCGCTCCCTCAGCATCCAGCAGCGCGCAGGGATGGCAGTGAGAGGACAACTGCAATCCACAGAGGCGGTGTCTGGCTCCGCAGCGTGCAAGCCTTCAAGGAACACCCCCAGTGACAAGCATGGAACACAAATACCAAAATACCCACTGCTAACATGAGCCCTAAAACGTTCTCATTATTTGAATGTTTCTCCTACAGCTGCAGAAAGAGAAAAGCAAACATCACCTGCTGCAAAAAGCATACAAAATCCCTCAGTGTGGCCCAGGAGCTCTCCTAGGGCTAACTCAGGTCACAGATGGAGCTCTGCAGACATACCCAGCTCCTGCACAGCACTGCCAACACCAACAAGGTCACCAAACCTGTCACTGCTTATAATTTTAAGGAAATCATTCACATGCAAACAAGCTTTAAAGAGTTAGTTAACGTTACTGGTAGGTAAAAATTCCAATTTCCAACGCCATTCAGCCATCAAATTACAAAAGATAACCAAAAGCACGAATGACATCCACAGATTATGGAATGGCCCACACATTGTTGCAGCTCTCATGAAATATTCCCTCGGAATCTGCCTTAGCAAAGGCTGTTTTTAAATTAGTTGTATGAGCTCGGAATTCTGGATGCGATATTTGCAAACGTTGTTGCCCACAATGTAAACAAAAAGCAGCACAGCCAGAGCTGTATTTACATGACCTACATGTCCACTTACAATAAAAACTTGGTGCTTTCATGTGGTAACTGCACTATGACTTTTTGAAATAAATACTGCCAATACTTTTGCTATAACCCTGCTTCACTTAGTGAGCCAAATAACCCGTTCTTAAAATCAAAACTAGGGACTCTAAAGCTTACTTCCACTGCACTCAGAAGCAATCCCCCCTCACCTGTTTCACTGCAAACAAGCCAATCCTGTAACCAACTGCAGATCAAAAAACTGCTGAGGATGCCAGTATGAGAACGCTGGCAGCCCCATTCTTTTGGTACTGAGTCTGAGTTCCAGTAAACAGAGGAGGGCTGCTGACTGGAACAAAGCAAGCAGCACTTGCACACAGACTTCCAGATGTTATACTACCTTATGAGAAGGCTTAATCCTAATTTGTACAATTATGAGTCAGCAACAAATACTCATTTCAGCCCAACTCTGTCAATAGTATTTAAACTGAACTGGTACATCAATAGAAGTGTGAAAATGATTTTTCTGAAGTTAGTGAGTGTACGTTTCCAGACCTCCAATCCTCACATGAAACTGAATTCTGCCCCACAAAGGAGAATTAAGACCTAACATATAACGACAACACGACAAAAACAAAACACGCAGCAGATGAGCACACGGCTGTACGTAAAAAGCTCAGGCACGTGATACCCACTGACCAGCAGCGGCTCAGCAGCAGCCCTGATCTCCCAGTCTGGTTGGGGCGTATCACTGCTATTCGTATCAACTCCTCTCCCTGAGGGACAGGTCACGCCTTTGAGACATTTATTCAGTAAAGACTTCCCCTGATTCCACTGAGACCAAATAAAGTGGTCTGAATGCATAAAGCAGGGTCAATTGCTAAACGCGGCTTTTAAAAATGTAAATAGTTACAAATCACAAAAACCCTGCTGAGGAAATGAGCTGTGCTGATCCCTCCCATCAGTCACTCCCTCCCCACTCCCAGCACTCTGCACTCTGAAAGGCCGGGCTGCTGCCGACTATGGCGCATCCTTGTGCTTCAAAGGAGACATCAATTCATCTGACAAAGAAAGGAATCACATCTAGACCAGGGCAGGTCTCCAAACCCCTTGCTAACTAGGAACAACTGTTAGAACAGAAGCTGCCCCTGCCGCAGAGAAACTACGGTGAGTGCAGGTAGCCAGAGCCAGCTCCTGCTGCATGGGCCCATCCTGTTCCCACCGCAGCCGGTGGCAGGGCTCCAAGCAGCTTAATGGGAACAGCAACACGCTTTCTATCTACTTAATATAAATGAAGATACGCATCTCCTCTTTGACATATTTTGGGCTCAAAGCCATTGGCTGACACTTGTTTGGTTCTCTGTACGCACATGACTCATGGGATAATATAATGCCTGATTTCCATTCTGCCAGACCTGTCTTTCTCAGCGGTTAACTATTAATTTTGGAGGCAAGATGCAATAGTGCAGTAAAATAGGATGGTGTTAAAGTAAGAAAATTGCAGTTAAATATTTAGAGTAAATGAATCAGGTTTCCTTTTGTGAGGATTCCCTTCCAATTACAGACTCCCAGCCACACGCTCCTCAGGACACCAGCCCATTGCTCCTGCACTGAGGGCGAGGTCACCCAGCCTCCGGCAAAGCACCGGGCAGGCGGTGTGCTGTGGACATGCTGCCTTTATCCAGCTCAAGGAAAAAACAGATTGTGGAGCTAGCCTTACAAAAATCCCTATTCCAAAGAGCTGCTTTTTATTTCAGGCTCCCTACAGAGAAGCGGGCCACTCTGGGCACACTCAGTAAACTACAAACACGTGCTGATTTTCCACCAAAACTGTAACACTTTGGGGTAAGGTCTGACTTCTCAGATCCAGTCAACATCTGAGGTACGAAGGACTACCCCAAATGAGGCAGGGACTGCAAGAATTATCTGGACAGACATTTGCATTCTTCTGAAGTTTCCTGTGGAATAATTATTATTAAGTGTTGTCGTGGCTTTAAAATGCCATATCTCAGATATGGCGCAGCAAAGCACACGGACACAGAAATTTCCATGCATGGTGTGCATTTGTACACGACTTCACTTGTATAAATGAGGATTTCATTACTAGGAAAGGAAGAGAAGTCCAGAACCAGGCAAGAAACATTATTTTGGCCTAATCTATTACACCAAGAGTGGGTCTGTCCCTCAACCTCCTACTCAATTAAATTTTCATCTTTTTCACCACTGAACTGGGTCAAACTCGGCAAGCACACGGCATGGAGAAGCACTGGTTCCACCTAACAGCAAAGCAACTCCCACTGCCCCCCTTCCAGCAGGGAAATTACTGCAGGGTACTCCAGAAGCTGCCTCCTGACCTCCAATCACTCAAAGCAGGTGGAGAGGGCAAGTTTGACTGGGGTAATTCCCCCGTTGCAGTGGAAGAAAATAAATCACTGAAAAACCTTGTCGTTCCACCCCCACCCTGGCCCACACCTCACTACGGCCACGAGCAACCTCTCACCCCCGCGCACACTGGAGCAGCTGCTCTCTCCCTCCCCCCGCCCCGCCTCACCGCCCGCCCACCGTCCCGGCCCTCGTGTCCCAGCCCAAGCTCCGGGCGTCGCGGCGCAGGCCGGGCGAAGAAGGCCTGCACGACCACACCGGGACACGAGCGCCGGGAAGGGCGCGGGCCGGCAGCCCTGTCGGGCCACCGCCGCTCGCCCTAGCGCCGTGTTAAGGCGGGCATCGCCAGCGCCTTCCGCTGCGGGTAACGGAGCCTCCACGGTACTCCGTGCCACGCGCGCGGCACCGCGCAGCGCAGCACGCGGCCGGCAGCGGCACGGCTCTGCGGGGCGGGGGGAGGAACGCGACCGAACGTCCGTATTTTTGCCCGGCGCCCGCAGAGCGCAGCTCTTCCCTCACAACAACGTGAATCTAACCGAGAAGTAAAAATCCTTCATCCCGCCGCACTCCCTCCCGCGCTCCGCGCCGCCACGATGCGCGGAGCAGGCCGGGCCTTACCTTCGCTTAGCGCGGTCGGAGCGAACCCGCAGCGCGTCCCGCCGAGAGGAGCCCGAGCGCTCGGTACCGCCGGGACGGCGCGACTCGGCCCGCACGGCTCGATGACGGCCGCCCCGCAACACGGCGGGCTCGGTGCTGGGCTCGGTGCTGGCCGCGCTCTCGGCCTCCTCCTCCCCGCTGCCTCGCGCCTGGCTTGCCGCGTGCGCCTCGGCGCGTCCCCGCGGAGCGCTTCTCCGCCCCGCCACGGCGCGCGCCCCGCCCACGTGACGCGCCGCTCCTCGCGGCCGAGGGAGCCGCGGACGGCCGGGGCGGCGGGACCGGCGGAAAGCGGGGAACGTCGGGACCTCCCCACCCGCGACCCCGCGCTCCGCGCCGTCGGGCGTCGCTCCGGCATCGCTCCGCTTCGGGGACGGCCTTCCGCCCCGGGCTCCTCCGTGCCTGGCGCGGGCGGCGCGGCCCCACGGCCCGACCCAGCCGCGCTCCCTTCGCTGGCGGCCGCCGGGCGGGGCCCCGGCGCCCTATCGCAGCCGCTGCTCGCGCCGCCTCCCCTCGCGCTACGGCCCCGAACCCGACCCCGGGCGCTCCGAGGCGGGGCGGAGCCGCCCTCTCGGGCCGGCGGTCGCAGCTGGCCCCGCGCCTCGCGGTAGCCGTTGCCCCGCAGGGGGGTCGTGTCGTGCCGAGCCCCGGAGCGGCGTCTGTGTGCCCGGCCGGGGCGAAACTCCCCGGGGGAGGGGCGGGGCCCGGCACCGCGAGCGGCCGCGCGGCGTCTCCGCGTGTCCCGACGCCGTCCGCGTCCCACCCGGGCGCCTCCTCCGCCCCGGCCCCGCAGCGCCGAGCGGGATCGCACCTGCACGCGGCGCGGCGCGGACCGCCGCCTCCTGAAGGCGCCGCGCGAACGGGGCGAACGGGAGCGATCGGCGGCCGGGGCCGCGGTGCCGAGAGGGGCTCGGAGCTGCCCGGCCCCGGGACGAGCAGTGGAACACGCAGCGGGCGGTGATGGCAGAGTATATGCTGTTTATTATGAATGTAACCAGGACTATCCGACAAAACTGTATATGCGGTCCCCTCCCAAATTAAAAAAAGAAACAAAAACAAAACACCGATGTGTGTGCATATACGTCCACGTTCCCACCCCACACGCACGCCGCACACGCGCCCCGCACGCACCCGCGCTGCCCTCCCGCTGCCCCCGGCTCTGTCCCCGGGCGGGACGGGGCCGCCTCCCGCGGGCTGAGCCCCGCGCAGCGCTCCCCGGGCCCGGAGCGGGGCCGCGGCCGCCCGCAGCAGCGCAGCTCGCACTCACCCACCCACCCACACAAATAATAAAATAACGTTGCAGCACGAGGGCATAGTCTCTGTCACCAGATAAGAAAGTGGTGTGATGGCAAAGATCTAAGTAACGCAATAAAAATAGTGTAGCTAGTATACACGGAAAGGCTTTCACATTACACGAGGCACAGCTTGGGCAGACAGAGACACGGAGAGGAGCTGAATGTCCTGGGAGAAAGCAAAATACGCTGAGAGTTCGTAGTAAATACCCGCATCGATAGGTATTTATTCACTTGTGCTTCGCCATGTCGTGACATACAGTACGAATCGCCGCCGCTCTTCCTGTCGGCGCGGGGAGCTCCGCCGGGCCGCCCTCGGCCCTACTGTCCGGCTGCCGGGCCGGGCTGTCCTCCGGTCCCGATGTCCGTCCCTCGGGCTGTCCCGTCCCGCTGCCGCCCGGGGCGGTCCCGGCGCCGCTGCCGCTCCGCCGTCCCCGCGCCGGCCCCGCAGCCCGCACGTCCCCGCGCTCCTTCCTCGGCAGGCTGCGGGCACAGAGCTCCTGCAGGCAGCTTTAAGGCACATCTGGGCTGCTCTATGTGCTTTATTACTATTATTATTGTCATTTACCCTGTGTAGACACGTGGGCTTTTTTATCTCTTCTTTCCCCTCGCCTTTCTCCTTACAAAACCCACCACGTTTTTCAGCTTATTTGTGTGTCAACCCTAAGGCACCGACCTGGTAATACTACAGCTGCCTGGCTTCTTTTATTGGTCATTACTGTTGGGAAAAAAAAAAAAAAAAGCAAAAAAAAAAAGCCCACCCCCCGCAATCTGAGCTCGCTCCGGCACCGCTCGGAGCGCACGGAGCAGCAGAAGGGCCCGGCTAGGCGCAGCTGCCCATGGCCTTCACCAGCGAGCTTTCGGGCAGCTGCCTGAAGATGCCCCGCAGAGTCTCCAGCTCCCGGCTGAGCTGCTCCACCCGCTTCCGCAGCCGCTCGTTGTCGGTGGTGAGCTCCAGCACCTTCTGCTGCGTCTCCACGTTGCGCTGCTTGGCCTTGTCCCGGCTCTTGCGCACCGCGATGTTGTTGCGCTCCCGGCGCACGCGGTACTCGTTGCTGTTCTTGTCCACTGTCTTTTTGGATTTGCCGCGGTGGTCGGCGGGCATCATCTTGAGGGCGCCGGGGGCGGCGGGCAGCGCGCCCGGGGGGTGCGGGTGGTGCGGATGGTGCGGGCTGGGCACGGGCGTGGGGGGCGGCGTGGGGTGCCCGGGCTGCAGGTGCACGGTGGTCTGCGCGCAGTGGGCGATCTGGTACTGCAGGTGGGACGGGTGCTGCTGCGGGTGCGGGTAGAGGGCCGCCAGGGCCGCCGCCTTCACCTCCTCCTCCTCGCGGGGCTCCTGCTTGATGACCAGCGGCCGCAGCCCCGGCGCGGCGATGCGCTCGTAGAGCGGGTCCAGCTTGCCGTCCATGTAGCCGGCCGCGCAGCCGAACAGCGGCTGCTGCTGGTGCTGCGGGTGGTGCCCCGGCGCCGAGGCGGCCGCGCCGGCCCCGTGCATGCCGTGGAAATCGAAATCCCCGGCCA